CAAACACATGTGCACAATCACATCACATGCATAAACATACAAAAAAAATACCTTTTTTAAAGTCCCTTATCAAAACCGGTGCCATATTCACCCACTTACCCTGGAATGACCGAGCTGAGGAAAAGGCTGAGTGAAAGAACACTCGCCTCACATGCACAAGGCCTGGGTTCCATCCTCAGCACCAGAGGAAAGAAGGCATGGCTGTTCATCAACAGCAGAGCATCCACGCAAACAGGGAGTGAGACTGTCCATCCGAAGTCTTGTAAAGGTCGGTGTTTAACGACGACGATGACTTAGGTGACAGCCCACCCTGCGTAGGAACTGGAAGAACCAAGTGAGAAAGGAAACATCAAATGCATCTCTTATAACCCCAAATTTAGCAACATTTCATGAGCCCTCATCCACTTTTCAAAATGTCACATTAATGCTAATTGCCACTCTGACCGCTACAGTCTTTGCTGCTCTTGATTTTAAATGCATTTGGGACTTGAAAAAGAATGAGAGCAAAAAACATTTTGAAGTTGGGGGTGCAGCTCACATGTTAGGGTCCTTGCCTACCATGCATGAAGCCCTGAGTTAGATTCCCAGCTCCACATATGTTGGGTGTGATGCTCTACTCCTGTCACAGAAGCGAAGGCAGAGCCATCCTCACGCACATACCAAGTTCCAGTAGCAGACCAGCCCAGGCTCCATGAAACCCTACCTAAAAATAATAGTAATCATCTGAGCTGGAGATAGGTCAGCAGTTGCAGAGGACCCTCGGCTTGATTCCCACTGTTCACATTGTGCCACTCACAATCACATGTAACTCCAGTTCCAGGGGGATCCAGTCCCCTTTTCTGGCCTCCACAGGCACCAGGTACTTACATACAAGCAGTCAAAACACTCATACACATAAAACAAAACCTTTATCAGTAGGGGCGATGATAATAATTTGATTCAACTCTGCAACATTTTGAAGATGACTCTTCAAACTTAAGCAGGGGAACGGTTCTGTAGTACTTGCCCACTTAACCCCATACTGGCTTATCCTGAGAAATGCATGCATGCAGGGCCCATGAACTGACTGCTGGGGAAGGTCCAGGTGAAATACACTTAGTTATTTAATCAGTTCTATGAGCATCCTTCTTTCTGTGCTGCTGGTAGTGAGAACCCAAACTTGGGTCCAGATCCGAGTCACTTTCAGTCAACTAGGGGATGGATCAACCCAATCAACTAGCACTTTGGGTTGTTTTTTGTTGTTGTTGTTGTTGTTGATAACTCTGAAAAACGGATCAAGAAGACAGTGAGTTCTAGAAGGAAGAAAGTACAAAGTCCTGAAACGAATGTGTGACTTGAAAAGGTAAACCATTTTCTTCTCAGCTTGGCTCTGCAGACCATCTCGGAAAAGGATGTTTTTACAATCAGAGCAGAAACGCGTCGGGCTGCGCCTACATTTACGTATCTTTGTTGCAAAATGCATGTGACTTGTTGGGGTTTCAGCCTCCTCCTCCGGGAGAAAGCAGCAGGCTGCGGTGCTGGTGGTTACTTTCTGAGGTGACACTTCAAACCATCGCTCTCTGGCGCACAAAAGGCAGAGTGAGTCACAGGAAGAGGCCACTCGCTTGCAAAACGCATTAAAAGTAACGCAGGCTGAATGGACTTCCTGCACCAGTGAACAGATCGCTGGCAGCCGGACAGGATCCTCGAGGTTCCCAACCGTTTCAGGGAGGAAGGGACCATTAGAAATCCGGGCACATCCACCTCTGCCCTGTTTCCTGTGCTCCCTCTCTGCCCAGGCTGCCAGGCCTGTCCTCTCCTCCCAGGCCTGTGGCTCCCATCTGAGATTCCCCAGGAAGGCAGATCTGACTGGATGCCTCCTACCACAGGGTCACAAGGACACCTCGTGACTTAAGCGAGTACCTGTGGCTGAGTCTCCAAGGTCCTTAATAGGTGAGGTGTTCTTTGCAACGCCTTCTCCAGCTTGAGCAAGGTGGGGTGGAGCAGATGTGAGTCCTGGGTGGACAGCATTCCAGGTAGCTAGATGAAAGGCAGATGTGAGCACAGGCCTGGGCTGCGTGATCCACAGCATGTGCATGCATCCAAAACCCCATAAGGACTTATTAAAATGTATCTCAGAGGCCCATGCCCAGTTAGGGTCAGCAGGACTAGGTAAGATCCCCAACATTCACGTTTTTAACAAGCCCCCTCATCCTCTGGGGCCAAACTAGACCTAGAGAACTACAAAGAACGGATTTTAAATCTAAACAGACTGTTCGGCCTCCAAAGCCCACTAAGGATTTGGGCCTCAGGTTGAAGACATCAGTACTCAAACAGCCCCCTGAAGAAACTCCCCTGCCTCTGTACAAGTCCAGTTCACAACCTGGCTGCTCTCCAAGCTACATGTAGGGAGGGGCCTTTTTGTCAGAGCGGATGCTTCTTTGCAAGGCTGTTTGGCCAAACCAGGACCAACTGTGCCCCCCGGTGGCCACAGGTTTCCACTGACTTCCAGGGTCATTGTCATACTCTGCTTCCCTTAGGGACCAAGCCTGGTTTGCACCACAAGGGACAGCAACTGTCATCTTTGATGCTACAGGGTTGAAAGAGGGGTTACAGATGAAAAGGCCTCGCTGGAGATGCAGGGCAAAAGGAAGAGCGCTTGCGTAGCATGCAGGATGCCCTGGGTTCAATTCCCGACACCAAAGAAGCCAGTCATAATGATACATACCTGTGATCCCAGCACAGGAGGGCTGGAGGGACAATGATCAAAGTCATCCCTGGCTAAAAACAGAGTTCCAGGCCATCCTCATGGGACCTTGTCTTTAAAATAAACAGATGCGGAGACGACAGTGGCGGCACCTCAGTGGATAAGTACTTTACTCACACGTGAGAGGACCAGCATTCAGATCCTCCGAACCCACACAAAATCCAGGCGGATGTGGTGGCCGCCTGTCACCCCTGCAATTCACAAGGCAGAAATGGGATCCTGGTGCAAACTGACTAGAAAAGGAAGACATTCCAGGGTGTGGGAGCCCGTTTTCAGGTTCCTTGTGGCTTTACCCAGCAGGTCTGCATAGAGAGGATGATTGGACCACGGGCCTGAGGGCAGGTGTCTGAGATGGTCTGCACTTGGCTGTGCTGGGGGAGAGGTCTTTTGCTCCACCCCTTGGCTTTTCTATAAATACCCTGGGGCAGAGACGGTCAGGGCCTGTTAGAATAGGTTCCAGGGTCTCTCGAGGCTACCCTGTGTTTTCTGTCTGTTTATCTCCGCAATCTAAATCCTTCTAATATTTCCTGCTGCTCAAACTCAAAAAAACTCTGGGGAACTGTGGGGTTGGCGGGTAAACGCCCCACACCAGGGGGCTTTCACCTCTCCTAAGGTCAAGGAAATGGGGCTCAGGGTTTCCCCACTTCACAGCCATGACAGAAAATACAGAGGGACAAAGTGAGGTGGGTGAGTGGGGGTACAGGTCTCAGCTCTGACAATGGGACATCAGTTCTGCTGAGGTATGCTTGCTTAGTCCCGGGACTTGTTTCAAACAGGGCCTCCTTCACTTCTCTATGACCATTCCAGTCCAGATCTGCACATTATCTTCCACAAATGCCCCAAAGCTGATGGCTAAGACCTGTCACCGATGTTCTGGGCCCCTGATGCAAAACAGAGGCCTCTTACTCTTTGAAACCAAAACATCAAGCACTTCAAACGCGCAGGTGAGCTCAGCTCGTCACTGGGAAAGCCGAGGCAAGCATCGGAAATAGTTCTGTGTGCACGGGGGTGTGAGCTGTGGGACACAGGAGAGCCTCGGGTGCCTCTGTGGGGTGAGGTGTCAAAGGGCAAAGAGAACACGTATGAATGAGTGGCTTACAGACACATTTATCCTGGTTTTTACTTCAGATAAGAGCGTAGACAGATGCAGTCGGGTAGAGCGGACGTGTGGAGATGTTCGAGGGTTTATTTTGCTATGTAAGATACATTGGGTCTACAGGCACTCAAGGGGTTGCTGGGATTGGGACTTCATGAGGAACCCAGCCTTGGCTTTTATTCAGCGGGCCCTTTAACACTTAAGGATATACTCTTCCATCCACTCCATAAACACTAAAGCCAAAACAGCAATTTCTAGGAAGCCTCCGGCCGTTACTAGTGCACCATGTTGATAGGATATGACCATCTTCAGCTTAAACGATCGAACTAGTCAAGGGCTTTGATGGATCCCTTCAAAATGGAAAAACAAACTAAGGACAAGTGTCTGAAAGAGGAGAGCAGTGGACGTGAGATCAGGACACTCCACATGGGAAAGAGTGACGAGGGGCCAGGGCCTGCAAGGCTCCGCATACTCAATCTTCTGTGCCTCCTTCCAGGCCAGGAGAGAGCCTGCTTATGCTCAACGGGCCTCTCGACTTTACAATCCAATGCAGGTTGTGCAAGAATTGTCTTCCTTCATGGGAAGAGCACATCCGTATCTCTCCTACCTGTCTCAGGGATAAACAGGATTGGTATGACAACCCACATGACCTCGAATAACAGAAAAGGCGCTGATTCCCACAGGGAAGGGTTTGTAACCCTCAGAATTGTGGGTGTGTGTGTGTGTGCCCGTCCATTTGTGTGCAGGCCCTTGGTTGGGTGTGCACGTACTTGTACAGTCATACCTTGAGAAGCCGGGATCTCAGGCACTGTTCCTCCTCGGGGACAGCCCACCATGCTTACTGAGACAGGGCCTCTCACTGGCACCTGGGGTTTACGGACTCCACTAGGCTGTCTGTCCAGCCAGTGCCAGGGATCCACCCATCCTCACCTCCCCCGGCACTGGGATTACAAGTGCACACTTCCTGGTCTGGCTTCATACATGGACGCTGGGGACAGAGCTTGGATGCTAACGCATGCATGGCAAGCCATCTCCCTGGCCCACATCCAGGGTTGTTTCCAAGTTAAGGACTAAGTACTAAAAATGATGACACACCAGAAAAAAAAAGTAAAAGCACCTTAAGAACATTAAAAAAAAAAGATTTAAAATTCATATGCCTGATTTTCAGAAGTCTTTCATCCATCTCATTTATTACAGAAATTTCTAGTTCTGCATCAAGCACAACACAATGAAATATTACATTGATTTTCATCATTGCACCGGCATTTACAAACACACAGCCAATGTTATAAATAAAATATATTGAAGTAGTGATCAAACCTGAAACCCAAAGGGGAATTCTCTGCGAAAACAGAAGCACGTCTCTGCAATGTGCCAGGGGCACTCTCCTTCATCGTGTGTGATCAACGTTTGAGGACATGTCACTGTGGAGTGAGTCACTCATTTCCACGAGCAACTCTGAAATGTCTGGTACTAATATAGCATTCTAGCGTGTGGCCGTGGGGCCACTGGGTTATAGTGCATATGCAGATAAGCCAACGTGAGCGAGCCTGGTGCAGCTCACATTCGGATCTCAGGGGGCGCCTCACTGCGGGTGTTCCTTCACACCGCTACCTGGACGGGGCTCAGGAAGAATGTCAGGGATCTGAGAGTGTGGTTTTGTGTAAGGTGTGCTCTGTTTCAGGGTGGAGTGATTCAAAACCAGATCCCAAGCCAGGTGTGGTAGCTGTGGAGGCAGGAGGGAGGGAGGGAGGATTGCTGTGTGTGTGAGACCGGGTTGCAGACCAGCCTGGGCTACAGAAACAGATCCCGGCTCAGGCCGCTGTCATCGCTTGCTCTCAGAATGCCACTTAGAACAGAGGACTGCAGGGGGCAGACAAGGGAGATTCCAAAGCTTCTCCTGGACAGGAGGGAGAGGCCTGAGCTCCTCTGCAGGCTGCTGAGCTCCTCTGCAGCCCACAGCAGTCAAAAGACACTTCAGAACCCCAGTGGCAGGATTAACGTGGCCTCTGAAGGTCACTAGAGAACAAGCCGCGTGCTGCCTGTGGCAGGACTATGCTTAATTACTTTCCTCAGTCCCAGAAGGGAGCCTGCACACTCCAGTCCGCGTTCCTCCGTGTCTGCGGTCCACAGCAGGTGCGCTTCCCCTTCCACTGTCCATTCCTGTGAACGGTGACCACATCCGACCTTCACAGAACCCAACAACAACAACGGCAATGACTCTGGGCTTCTTTCACAGAAAGAGTAACAACAGTCCGTTCTTTTCTCACCCTCTTTTTTTTTCTTTTTCTTTTTCTGTGTTTGTCTCATCTGACTCAAACAATAACATTTAAATAGGCAGATCTTTCAGGAGTAAAACACTCTTTAAAAAAATAAAACTTCCAAAAGTAAAGCAAAATCTTTTTACCAAAAATACTTCTTTCATTTTTCACATTGTTCTCTGAGACGGTTCAACAACTACCCTCTATCAGCTTAAAGAACGTCACTCAAATTACTTTTTTTTTTTTTTTTTTTTTTTTGCCCTTAGACTGAATGGAAAAAGCTAAGGAAAACAAATGATTCAGAAATTCCAGAAGATCAGTGTGTCACATACACAGAATAAGGCTCTTTGGATTGTCTAGCACACTTGACTTTTAATGTGTTCGTGACAGCTGCATTCCTAAGGATCTGGCTAGGATGCTCACAACAGCAGCGAAATAAAGTAATAAATAATATCTGCAAAGAAAATCATTTAACTTCTGGAAACCGCGTTTCTTCAAATCACCCGGCTTCTTTAGCGCCGTTCCAGTCCTCATTGGCGGTGCTTCCTGGCTGGTGGTGGGACGCAGATGGAGGACGCCGCAGACACTGCCTTAGGGACTATGGTTCTAATGTAAGGCATCGCAGTTGGGAGAACCAGACAGTGGGCTCTAAGCAAACAGCTGCTGCAGATGTGTTAAGGCATAAATAGCCCGGCCTTGAGCTGTGAGGATGGGGAGAGATGCGCCAGGGGCACAGGACATCTTTAACCAAAGCAATTCAAGAGCTTATCACCTACAGTGAGACTAAGTCAGCCATCCTGCAAGGGAACGTCTATAAAGTCAAAGCCTGAGGGCTGGGACCTAGCAAGGCCCAGGTTCCTTCCCTTCAGAGCACTCAGACTCAGAAAAGAGGCCATCCCTGTGTGTGTGGAAGGCGGCACAGATGTCACTGTCAATGGGCATGTGCCCCTTATGCTACCAACAACTGTGCACATCCGAGTTCCTGGGGCGCACACTGATACTGAGACAGCTCTCGGGTGGCCAGCCCGCTTGTGCTAAGGGGTCACCACATTAACTAGTTGCTGGCCCGGGCTGGAGAGTGCAGCATTATGTATGTTAAACCAGACAGAGGACATACTTGCACACTACTAGTGCAACCAGTCCTGATGCAGCATACATATGGGATGAGATGCAGCCTCCATCCACCCTCCACGCTTAGAAATGTCACCCCAGGGCGGGTGGGTCAAGGGAGAAATGCTTCTCTCTTAGGCGGATGGCCGCACATCAGCCTTCCCAGCAGCTCCAGGGTCCCCACAACCTATCCTTTAATGCTCGCTCGCATCAGGCTGAGGCTGAGTGTACGTCCTGGTTTTCAAAGGGTAGCAGCGGTTCTCTCCAAAAGGTGAAGTTACTGAAAGTATCTGAACAGGGGAAGTCGGAGGAATGGCTTCTCTTCAGCAACGGGAAGACGTGGTCAACCACTTCACAGAGCCTCACATAGCTGCAAGGTAAAAAGGATAGGAGGTTCATTACCCCTGTGGCCAGGCCAGCTACATGAAGGGCAGTACCAGACTCTGGGATGCACTGCAGGCTGGGGAGGAATCTACAACCCCAACTCCAGTGAGGAGCCAGGGACTCTGCCTGACTAGAGCCAGTCTAGCCTATAAATTAACTGAAGGGAGAGGGGGAGACAGAACACCCAGAGAAGAGATCGCTCCCAGGAGGAGACAGCCTGACTATGCATGAACAGACAATAGGAGTGGAGGTGTGGGGATGTACAGAGGGAGATCAGCATAGTCAGGGGCATCTATCTGCCTGCCACGGAGGCCACATGCAGGGGGTGCCTGCCACAGAGGCCACATGTGGGGGTGCCTGCCATGGAGGCCACATGTGGGGGGTGCCTGCCACGGAGGCCACATGTGGGGGTGCCTGCCACGGAGGCCACATGTGGGATACTGGGGAGGAACCAAGGACAAAGCACTTCTTTAGAGCAGTAGAAACATCACAGTCACAGTGAAAAGATTCAGGGCCATGGCCTTGTCAGGATGCTGATCTGGCCTCACTCCTGCCCAGTTCCAGCTGGGTGATCTCAGGCAAGGCTCTGAAGTCTCTGCACCCTGACTCCCTCTACCATGAAGGAAGGAGAGCATCAGAAACGGAATGACACAGGCAGGGATCCAGTAGCGTGTACTGGAAACCCATTCAACGGCGGATCACCTCCACTTCACGAAGAAGTCCCTGGCCATGGGACAGCAAGCTCGAGGCCTCCTCCAGCCTTACTTACTGTGTGACTCTGGGCAAGTGTCCTGCCCTCCCTGAGCTTCAAGCCCTTCCTCCTCAGTGTGTGGGACTGGACCACACAGGAGTCTCCAGCACTCCCTGTCTCAGGGCTCTTCCCCTGTCCCCAGGAAGATGTTGCCTACCACAACCTACTACAGAAAGAAAGCAGCTCCACATATGGAGCTGGAAGCCCTCCAGGCTCCTCCACACAGTGATTCCGACATGCCCAACCCTCTCCCACACAGCCCCTCTCCACTCCCTCGTGCCAAGAACGAAAAGGGGCTTGCGAAATCCGAACTCCTGGAGTTAGCATGTTCTGAGGCATGAAATGACTTATTCAATAAGGCTGCTGCGTGTGTGTTTAATAAAGGGCCTCCAACAGACTCATGAGAAACAGTGTGCTTGCACAACGCAGAGAACCTCTCTTAGTATTATGCTAAGAATTATGTCTTTCCTGGGGATTAAAACAAACAAACAAATTTTTAAAATACCTCCTGACTTGAAGGCCTATTAGCCTGAGGTTTGTGGCTATGGGGGTGGGGGGCTCCCCGCAGGGAGCTGTCCCTGCCAGGCTGCAGAAGCCACCAGCATCAAGCCGGCAAGGCTCACGTGCCCTGGCAGCTGTGCCTGCTCCAACTGGGTGGCCCATTCCACCCTCCAGGCATGGGGCTCCCTGGAGCAAGGACAGTACATTCCCTGACTACAAAGGAGGGGAGTCCTGAACTCGGTACTCCACCCAGTGGGGCTCCATCACTTCAAGACATCCACAAGGTCATCCCAGGTTCCAAGGGACAAGCACCTGCTTGGCTAGAACTGGTCATACCCAAGGGCCTGCAAGATGGCGCAGCAGGTAAAGAAGTGCTTGAAGAAGTCTGACAGCCTAAATTCAAACCCTGGAGCCCACGTAAAGGTGGAAGTAGCAAACAGCCCCACAGAAGTTGTCCTGTGACCGTCACATGTACACTGTGGCACACGCATGTACTTGCCTGAGCATGCATGCGCGCGCGCACACACACACACACAAACACGCACACACATACACACAAACATGCACACACACATACACACAAGCATGCACACACATACACACACACACAAACATGCACACACATACACAGACACACAGAAACATGCACACACATACACATACACACACAAACATGCACAGACACACAGACACATGCACATGCACACACACACACACACACACACACACACACACACACACATACACAGACACATGCACACACAGACACATACACACACAAATTAATAATAATTAAAAGAAAACATCATACCAAGTTCTGGACCTTGGTATACATGCTTCCTAAAGATGGAAGAGTCATCTCAGAGAACATGTCTCAACACCACAACTGACCTGCTACAGGATAGGAGGGTATGGGCTCCATCTTCTCCTCTCCCCACACCTAGAGAGCTGCTTGAGGGTCTGGCCTGTCTAGGAAGCCAGGAAGCCAGGAAATCAGGGCTCCCTCACATCTGGAACTGTTCTAGTCAAGCTGGACTCTAATGACCATCTTCAAAGTGAGAAACTGCCCTGGTGGTCTCACTCCCAAATCCAGACTGGCCTGGAACTCACTATGCAGCCCACAGCTGGCCTCAAATCCACAGCAATTCTCCTGCCTCTGCTTTCCCAGGGTGCTGGGATTACAGTGTGAGTCACAACTATGCCCAGCTCAAAAAGCATGGGAGGTACTCGCAAACACCAGGAGGAATCTTACAGCCCACTCCTCAGCTCCAAGTCTCCAGCTTACGTCAGTGCTGCGGCCACTCAGGCCAGAGGCTGCTGTTTGCCAGTTTAATACAGATCGCATGAAAAGACACAAAGCCGTGGAAGAGGCAGAGCGACAGTGCCGGCCTAGGCTGACGTACCCAGTAGGGCTGACATCAGAGACCCATGTGAGATGAGGCAGAGCCAGGAGTGATGGTCCATGCACCACACTGCCACACTCAACACAGCAAACCAGTCCGGTGTGGTGGCGGGCCCTGCGATCCCAGTACTGGGCAGGACTGCAACGTTCAAAGCCAGCCTGGACTCCATGGCAAGATCCTGTCTCGAACAAAGCCAACAAGAGTGAACCAGGGACTGAGAAGGGCACCTCTGTAGTACAGTGCTCCAACCCCAGTACCATAGGGCAGAAAGCGTGACTTCCCACAGCTCACTTGGGTCACATTCCAAACTGACATTCGAACTCGGACAACTGAAGGTCTAGTTTCTGAACTCATTCAATTCCGTTCCCCAGATGACTCTAGCCTCTAGTTTAGGCTTTACACTCTGAGGGATCTGACTTCGCTCTATTGTCCAAAAACTAAGACGGAAGACATGGAGTTGAACTCCATTTTTAGGGGAATTAAAGATTAAAAGGGGCTGGGGAGATGGCTCAGTTGATAAAAACTGCCTTCCTTCATGAGAACTTGATCCACATAAAAAGTCAGGTGTCATACATGCCTGCCACCTCAGTGCTGGGGTGTTGGACACAGGAAGGTCCCTGAAGCTCACTGGCCAACCAGGCTAGCCAATGGGTAAGCCCCAAGTTCAATGAGAAACTCTGTCTCAAAAAATAAGGTCAAAGTGATTGAGGAAGACACATGACATTGACCTCTGACCTCCACAGATATGAACACATACAAGTCTGTGCTGCATACATGTGTCCACACACACATACACATGCAAAGATTAAAACAAAGACAGCAATGGATAAAAGGGTCTGCAATGGATGGGGATACAGGCTTCAGAACAGTGAGGGAGTGGGGGAGTCCTGTTCCTGGGGAATAGATAATACTCACGAGCTGATGTTGGTCTTGGCGTGCTCCTGCACCAGCTCGCCCTTGGGGTTGACAGTGAAGATCCTGTTCAGGGACACTCCCACTTGCTTGTAGGAATACACATCCTACATTTAGAAAAGGTGATTTAACATGTCGGGAGGGCAGGGTTCACTGTACAAACGAGCACACACCGTGACCTTTCATTCAATGTCGCATTACCAATTTTCACTAACTGGCGCTTCAGCTCAGGGGAGTGGGGACCCATTCAGCTAGTGTTCCTCTCTGGACCTCAGTTCCTTCCACTCTTCAGGACCTGAGCTAACCCCCCTACGGCTCCTGCCGTGCTGGCTGGCATTCCTCAGGTTTATTTTCTAAACTATTTTCTCATTCCAAAATAATCTGCTACAAGTTTTAAAAGCAGAAATGTCCAGTTGAGTAGTTAATACCCAGCTATATTGTATAGAATACAGAACCTTCTAGCAAGAGTGGGTCACACACACCATCTCCACACATTTCCTTCAGCCAGGGAGCCCTCACTGCATGCTTTGGGCATCAGGCAGGGCTAGCACGGTCGTCTCATCTCTCAGGAAGGACCTGGCACCTTCAGTGCCCTTGTTTTGGTAATTTAATGAGTAATGCACAATTGCAAGCTTGTGGCCCAGGTCACCAGCTTCAGAGGCCCTGTCTGACATGCTTTCGACCTCTTTGCCTTAGAGGACGCTCACTGCGCACGCACCCCTCGGCCAGGCCTTTGTGAAAGCTGCCGGCAGCACCAAGCACAATGCCTCGAGGCTCCCCTGAGCCCTCGGGTACTTACGGCAGGGCGGTTTCCAAAAGCAGCGTAGAAGGGTTCTGTGTTCGGGAAAAACAGGTTCTTGATGTCTGTCAAACACTGGACTTTGAACTTTTCCGGCTTCTTTTCAATCACTTCTCTATAAAACACACAAATACATAATCGGTCAGCATGAGAGGACTTAAGTGTGCATGAAAGTGGTGTGAGGGCCATCAAAGCTGCTTCGTGGGCAAGGAGACTGGCTGCCGAGCCTGACCCGAGTGTGTGCCCCACAGCCCACTTTAGAGGGAGGGAGCTGACCCCGGCGTGCTGTCCTTTGACTTACACACACACACACACACACACACACACACACACACACACACACACACAAAAAGAAGTCATTTAAAATTTTAAAACTAGTCTTCAATGTGCAAGCCATAAACTTGGCCCAGCAGCCCAGAAAATCACTCAACTCAGAATGAACCACACTCTCGGCACAAGAAAAATGCAAAGGACCAGCCCCGGCAGAGGGGTGACCTCGGAAACAAAAGTCTGTGTTAGCGTGGGCCAAGCTGACTGGTGAAGACACGGGCAAAGTCCCAAGGACGTCTATAAATGCAAAGGGAGGCAGGGTAGAGCAGCAGGGTCGTGACAGGAAGGCAGGAGTCGTGTGACATTGGAAGCTAATCCCTGTAACGATGTCTCACATACAATGAGATGAAGAGAAAGGAGATCACCTGGGATACAAAGACACTGGCCACTGGCCAACATCTGGTTAGGATGAAAACTTTTGAAATTTATTGTTATTTGTACGCATGTGTGTCCATGTGCCAAGTGTGTGTAGGCGGCCTGTACAGGCCAAGAGGTTATGTCCACTCCCCTGGGGCTGGAGTTACAGGTGGTTGTGAGCTGTCCAGCATGGGTGCTGGGAATCAAACTCTGGTCCTCTGCAAGAGCAGGATGTGCTCTTAACTGCTGAGCCATCTCTCTAGCCCCAGGATAAAAATTCTTACATCAAAAATAGAAAGAAAAAAAGAAAAGGAAAGAAAAACCTACTACAAAAAGCTGGTTTTGGTGGCAAACACCTGTAATCCCAGAATGAAGGAGGGAGAGGCACGGAGATGGCTAAAAATTCAGGGGTTAGCCTGGTCTACCGACTGAGTCCCAGGCCAAAACAGGGCTCCATGGTCAGACCCTTCCATAAGGTCCTTCTGCAGACATCCTGTGGGGAGCACAGCAATGGTCTCCAGCCAAAAACAACATAAGAAATGGTAATAAAAGCTTTAAAACTTAGAATTTAGGGGTCAAAAAGATATGACGGACCTTCTTGGTTAAAACTATAAAAACTCAGGGCTGGAGAGATGACTCATCGGATAAGCGCACTGGCTGCTCTTCCAGGGGACCTGGGTTCAATTCCCAGCACCCACATGGCAGCTCATAACTAACTGCCTGTAACTCCAAGATCTGACACCCTCACACAGACATACATGCAGGCAAAACATGAATGCACATGAAGTAAAAAAGTAAATAAATTATAAAAAAAAAAATATAAAAACTCACTGAAATACAATAGAGAAGAAAAACCTAAATAAAACAGACAGACCAGCTTCTTGAATGGGATGCTTCAATATTATATCGAGCTATTAATCCTCTCTAAACTGGCCTCTGGATTCACTGAATGTGAATCAAATCATAGCAGACCTTTGGATGCTTTAAGGAAACTTGGTTCTGAAAGCCGCAGGGCAGAGCAGTGGGCCCAACACAGCTGGACACTGCTGAGATTGGGAAGCAAGCTCCGGGACCGTGGACACTAGTCAGAAGAGGCCCACTGAGAGGCGTGTGTGCGTGCATGTGCGTGTCTGTGTGTGTGTGTGTCTGTGTGTGTGTCTGTCTGTGTGTGTATGTCTGTCTGTGTGTCTCTGTGTGCCGTGACTATGCGTGTGTATGTGTGCCTGTGTGTGCATCTGTGAGGGTGCATGTACAAGTACAGGGACCAGAGGTCGGTCTTGGGTGTCATTCCTCAGGTGCTGTCCCCTCCTCTGTTTTTCAGACAAGGTTTCTCACTGGTCTAGGACTCACCAAATAGGTGAGGCTGACCGCCAGTGAGGCCCAGGGATCCACCACACCCACTGTATCCTAAGAGACTGGAACCTTTGCTGGACCTCACAGTCAGAGCTAAAAATGCATCTGAGGTCACAAGACTGAAGACTGCCATCCTACCCTGCGCTCAAGCCTGTTTGTCTGACCTGCTTTTAAGAGAGCAATGTAACCATCAACCTTAATTGCCTTGGAGTTCCCATGTGATCAGTGTTTACAACCTAAGCTAATGGATAACTGTAACCTTAATTTATGTCCTCTTCCATGCCGCTGACCCAGAGTAACCCAGAGCATGTATGTTTGTGTGTTGTGATAATTATTTACTGAAAGCAGCAAAAACAGAGGTTAGAAGCAATCTTATAAATGAACATCCACAATAAACGTTGAGCACGACATTTGGATATTGCGTGGTAAGCAATGGTGTTTGTTATCTGGGTCAGTCAGGGTCAGCTGGAGTCAGTGACTTCATCCCTTGTGACACTGTTAAAGATTTCTGTAAAGCATCCTCCATCCCATCCTCGTGTGATGCTTTCTCTTTGGTCCACCAAACACAAAGTCGAAGCCCTTTGTTAGGAAGAGAGGCATACATACACACAGGGACATACAGACACGGGGACAGACTCACAAGTCAGGCAGGCAGACAGCGGACAGACAGGAGGACAGAGCACACATGGAGAAGGACATAGAGAATTCAAACCTGGGTTCATTCTTGGTTAGAAGACCTCAAGGAGAAGTGTCACACTAAAGTGTGACACCAAGGTGAAGTCCTTCATTAATGTGATACTGATGCACTATTGGTGACTCTTTTTTTAATTAATGCATTCAAAGCAACTGTATTTTGGTGCCTTGTGTGAGGAATCTCTAATGCATTTAACACACACACACACACACACACACACAGGTTCTGGGGCTCAAATTCCTCCTCACACTTGCAAGGCAAAGGCATTTATCAACTGAGCCATCTCTCCAGTCCAACAGTCCACTTATTCTGCAAAACTTGCAATGAGGAAGAGACAACATGTCTGCATGGGGGTCGGCTATCAGGGCGGTACCTGTGTAAGCCATGGGGTCGGCTATCAGGGCGGTACCTGTGTAAGGCATGGGGTCGGCTATCAGGGCGGTACCTGTGTAAGCCATGGGGTCGGCTATCAGGGCGGTACCTGTGTAAGCCATGGGGTCGGCTATCAGGGCGGTACCTATGTAAGCCATGGGGTCTGCTATCAGGGCGGTACCTGTGTAAGCCATGGGGTCGGCTATCAGGGCGGTACCTGTGTAAGGCAGAGAAGAGACTGCTCGGGCTGAGCAGAAGGGGCCCCTGCGGCAGCACCGTGCCCCTCTCATTGACCCAGTGCAGGTAGCCCCTCGTCATGTCTGCCATCCCAATGGCGCGTGCCGAACAGTAGAGAAACTTGTAGCCATTCCTGAAAGACACAACCCATCCACCTTGAATAGCACCGTGGCACGGAACTTTTCGGCATCCCAGACCCTTACCTCCGTCCGCCCTATGAAGAAAGGCGTGGTTGCAAGTGGCCCCCATGGGAAAGTCTGTATTCTGTAAAATGTTATTTCCAGTTGAGAACGGACCACAACACCTCTCACTGCATCGTCTAGCACTCCGAGTCCTACCTAGAGCAGCTTTCCCTTAGGATAGGCCACCGTTCACCTCTTCTGCATACCAGGCCACACCATGCTTCCCACAGTTGGGCGGTGGTTGCAGAAGCCGTGGTAAGCGCAAGAACGAGGGACACTCCCGGGTGTGGGGTCAGGTGGTAAGACTCGGCCACCACTGAGAAAGGGCAACAGCACAGACCATCCCGCCCAGGTCTCTGCACAGTCTGAGGCTCTCCTCGTCATCCCTCAGCCACATGCTCTGAGCCCTCCACGCAGCCCAAGATGGCCAGAGATGCCCCTGGGGCTCAGCAGGGCCCTGCCCTCAGAGAGGATAGGGAGCTGTGGGCCAAACCACAGCAGCGGTGGGGTACAGGGGGGCGGGGAAGGTGCGTGACACACCGTCCGCTCCTGCTTGTCCGGTCCTCAGTGACCGACACGGGGGTCTGGAGGACACTAGAGCAGAGCACGACAGAGTGACCTGTGTCCAGGTTTCCCGTCCTGTCCCGGGCTCTACACCCCGCCTTAGAAAGGGCTCAGAAGGCACAAAGGGTTAACCGACCAGGAGTGCAAGCCTGACCACCTGCATTCCGCCCAGAATCCACAGAGAGACGGGACCAGCCGGCCTGGAGGACACAAGAGTGGAGGCAACAACAGAGGCCTCGTCTCAGCGAGGGGGAAGGTGAGAACCAACTCCTGAAAGCAGTCTGTCCTCTGAGCTCCACAACCAGGCTGGGGCACGCCACACATACAAACACACATGCACACACAAACACACATGCGCACACACACACACATGCACACACACACATACACACATACATAACACCCACTCATCACACACGCGCACACACACACACACACATGCACACATACATAACACCCACTCATCACACACACACACACACACACACACACATACACATGCGCGCACACACACACACACACACACACACACACACACACACACATTAAAAATAAAAATTTTCGCTGGGTGGTGGTGCACACCTTTAATCCCAGCACTCAGGAGGCAGAGCCAGGCGGATCTCTGTGAGTTCGAGGCCAGCCTGGTCTACAGAGCGAGATCCAGGACAGGCTCCAAAACGGCACCAAAACTACACAGAGAAACCCTGTCTCAAAATAACCAAAAAACAAAAATAAAAATTTTCAAAGTCCACAATCCAGACAGACTTAAATCAAATGTTCCAAGACAAGCTTTTAGACTGGGGTCCTCAACACAGCTATCTTGGAGCAGGTAGACGTAAGATACCTACAGCGATGCCTTGTGTATGGGAGCCCACAACTGACTCAGTTTCCCAGTTTGAATCTGAAGTCTGTTCTGAGTCAACAGAGTTCAGGCTTGCTTGCTCCAGGACTCTGAGAAAGTCCTGGTTAGCCCACAGGAAGGAACACACTATCCAGCTGGACGCAGGCTGCTGATGCCAGGTGGAAGTATATGAGATAGAAAATGGAACTGCCTGCTCCTTGATGCACGGACGGGACAGACAGTGGTCGAATGCCTGCGCTGTGCATCCTTCTACCTCCGTCCTTCAAGACTGTGTATAAGCTGGCTGTGAAATAAACTCGGGGCTGTCCGGCACTGACCGGCAGTCCTCTCGACTCTCTTCTGCCTTCTTCACTGTCTCTACGATCCGCACGCCTCCACCAAGACACCCAGCCGACTGGTCGGCAGACCCTGTCAACTGTGAGACAGAGCATCCCAGCTTCCACCCGCCCGGTGCCCACAGCACACAGTAATCATGACAATCGAAAATGCCTGGAAGCATGGTCACTTGTGCCTGAAATCCCAGCCCTTCTAGAGGCAAAACCAGAGACTGTGAGTTCCGGGCCTGTCTGGGCTACATGGTAAAAGACTGTCTCAAAATTAAACAGCTGAGGGCCACCGTTGTGGAGAGATGGGACTCTGGTCTCATTTGCAATCCCAGGCTGAAGGACAATCTTCCCTGCCACCCTAAGGAAGCAAGTTCTCCGTCCTTGTAAGTCACCCCATGCTCGGAGGGAGAGAGTCTGTATACAGAGCGGGGGTCACAAACGGGCAGTTATAAGACAGGAGTCGGTGCTCTATACTTACTGGCTTACTTTATGATACAGCTTTGCAATGCCCTGGTGGGTCCAATCCTTCCCGAGCGTGGGCAAAATATGACCAAGAGTATCCGATCTAAATAAAAATGAAAATATATATATATATATATATATAAGCCAAAGGTTACTGTAAGAGGAGAAGGAAAAAAATGCCCGTTTGACTTCGATGCACTACTCACGCCCCATAAAAATAGTAAGAATGAGGGCTGGCAAGACAGCTCAGAGGGTAAAGGTGCCCACTGCCTTTGTTCCCAGGCACCACACAGCAGAGGAAGAGAACAGACAGCCCCCACGTTGACCCCTGAGGTCCATGCTCATGCACATGTATGTGCACCCACAAAAATGTGTTTAAAAAAAAAAAAACAACAACTGAAAGAAACAACAGTATGAATAAGACCCACGGCTTCCTCAGTAGAAAGCCCGGGCTCACAGAATCAAGTGAGGACCTTAGGAAGGGCTCTGGTGAGCCATTGTGCTGAGGACTGGGCTTGCCGGACCCACGTGAGGGCCTGCTAACCATTCCAGAACAGCACTCTTCAAAACCAGGTTGGAGAGATGATACCCAGACAGAAAGAAGTCACCAGGCCGTAGTGGTCGCTACTGAGGCCAAGGTGCTGCCCCTATCTGTGCAGTTCCAAATGCACGGGAAACTGTATGTTCCAGCCCCCACGATGCTACCCAGGGTGAGATGGAAGCCAGCTCCAGATCACGATGCAGCCAGACCCACCTGGTGATGGTCCCATCGATATCCGAGATGATCACTTTATCGTCCCAGTTCCAGAGGTAGATGGTGCCTTCACAGCGACAGGTGCCCTGATACTGCGTGGTGACGCTAAAAACCACATCGTTGGGGCCATTCTTCAACTTCAAGCTTTTCTGGAAAACACGAACCGTTTGTGTGCTTCACGGGGAGGTCCAGATTCAGGGGATGCTGGGCCTCTGCAGGCTTTAAAATCAACCCTGGCTTCCCCAGGCCACCGCGAAGTTCTCTCCTCTGTTTCCGGCTCTAGTTCTGTCCAGGGCTGGACAGGCAACCTAAGTCAGACCCAGCTCTCCCTGGCCCCACTCAGGAAACAGCCACCCACTCTCTACAAACCATTCTGCTTCTAAAAGCAGTGCTAACCTGATCCAGTCCTCAGAGAGTACACAGAGTTCAGTGACTGGCTGCAGGCTTCACCCAAATCACACCATTACACAGGAAGTGTGAAGGGTCTCAGTGTAAGAACACAAATGTAAGACAGGCAAAAGTGTTTCCCTCAATAGTGTGTTTTTATTGATTTCTAGAATGACACAGACTGGAGAGAGAGCCTTGAATCCATAAAAACATAGAGCAGGCCCAAGCACATCATTACCAAATTCAGAAAACAAAACTCCTTTGGCTGGTCTTCAGTCTTTGCTGGTATACTCTGAGACACAGAAGCTGGCCACACAGACCCACAAGGTCGACTCTAAGTGTCCCCCCGGGTCCCACAAGTGGTTAACATGGGGTCATCTTTTCCCATTTAATACCATCCTGTCAAAACCTGCTCCTCATAAATTCTTACAATAGATACACAGACTTCAATGTAGAAAAGCAGAGATGCCTGCTCACTGGATGGCCTTGATTTGAAGGAAGTCCAGGGTTGGAAAGGCTTCATTTAAACTAGTCACACACACACACACACACACACACACACATACACACACACACACACACCGGGGTGGGGGGACCCTTTGCTTCCTAAAATTCTCCAAACTCCATCACACCTGCTTGATTTCCACCAATTTTATAGATGCATTTGCGTTAACAAGCATCTCTCTCAAAGCAAAAACACTCAGGAGGGACATTCCCAAGTCTCTCGGCCACTGGTAATGAGGATAAACGAACCGGCTCAGGCAAAGCTGCCTCCTCCTCCTCCTCCTCCTTCTAGGTCAGAAAAAAAGCAGCTCAGAGTGCAGAGTCACGTAGCCGGTCCACGTGAACAGACACAAAGTCAGGGTGGAAACACAAAGTACTGAAGTGAGGGTGTGAGGTCACTAAGAGGCATGCTGGCGCAGGAAAGGTCCTGGGAAGAGCTGAGTGAGCAAAAAAGGAGAAGAACCCCAGACCTTCAAGAAAGCCCTCAAACTCTATCTGCCCACTACCTGAGAACCAGAGCCGCAGCTGTACTGGGGACATGGGCCTCACCAGCTGCTCCGATGTGAGCCGCAGGGTCTTTTTGTAGCTGACGTTGGACAGAAGCGAGAGGTGGCTGGAGCTCGATGGCTGGGCGCCTGAGTGCTCTTCATCGCTGGAGGATGACTCGTGCTTTCCTCTGCAACACACGGTGAAGTAATTAGGAAACGCATCCGGGTAACCAGTAAAAACGCATTAGGCCTGAATCAATGACTCAGTCAATTGGGTCTCCTGGGTGGTCATTTGCCATATGGCTTTAGATTTATCAATGAACTCTCCTATATCCCCATTCATACACGGCTTCATCGTCGAGGGGGAGGGGGCTGCCTCTCCTCATTCACTCCGGTTTACCAACTCTCATCACTCACTTGTAACTAGTGTGACTCCACTCCTGATGAGCAGGGCTACACCCATTCTGCCCAGAAAGCCACAAGCAAGCCCACATACTCTTCTGCCTCTTTTCTCTCTACTGAAGGCTGTGGGCCAAACCCTAAGAGTCCAAATGTCCTCGGTCCAAACACCATCAATTCTCTCATATCCAATTCCATCAATTCCACATATCCAATTCCAAACAATTAGAGCACTTCCTGGACCTACGAAGATTTGCCAGTTCACCCCACCTCTTCCCCCAAGACTCGTGAAGTCACTACGAGCCAAGAGGACACTACCTCTGTCGGCACAGAATCCACAGACCAAAGCTCCAGTTCGTCTAGTGGCTTCTCCAGGCTGGTGCTGGGAGGCAGGGTTAAGACTCGGGCCCAACGTCTTTAAGTGCCTCACAGAAAGCAAGTTGGTAAATTAGTTGCTCCCTACGCTCAATTCTATGGCTTCATCCTCCAACCTAATAATGTTTGTTCTGCCTCCCAAGTTACTTAGCACCCTGCCAGGTACTTAATAATGGGCTTGGAAGAGCCAAGTGCCCCCAAAGCAGGCATGCCCATGGTGGTCTTTCTATTGCTGTGATAAAAACACCATGACCCAAAGCAATTTGGGAAGGAAAGGGTTTATTTCAGTTTATCACTGTCTGGTCACACTCCGTCACTGATGGAAGTCAGGGCAGGAACCTGGAGGCAGGAGCGGAAGCAGAGACCATAAAGGAGTGCTGTTCACTAGCTTGCTCCTGGTGGATTATTCAGCCTGATTTCTTGTATAACCACCCAGGTCCACCTGCCCAGGAGTAAACGGCACTGCTTCTGGTGAACTGGGTCCTCCCACATCCATCACTAAATACGGCAGTGCCCATAGGCCAATCTTCTGGAGGCATTTTCTCAATTAAGACTCCCTCCTCCCAGGTATGCCTGGGTTTGTGGCAAGTTGACAAAAATAAATGAATCAACCAGCACACCAACTTTCACATCCCTTTATACAACTTGCACACAGATCTCGGTCTTCTTTACCTCAGGAGTGCTCCCCTCTCCTTCCAACCTGTCCCTGCCTCCATTTCCCCTGGTCTGCCTTGTGGTCACCCAGACAGCCTCCCATACAAGCCTTTCCACCACGGCTACTCATTCAAAAAGTGATTTACACAGCCTGATGCTGCCCGGGACCAAGGAGTCATCATGGGGAGCACTCGCACAGCGCACCCCCCACTTGTGTGTGGAGCCAGATACTGCAAACAGCAGACAACAGCCCAGTCATCCCTGCTCTCTTCGGGCTTTTGCAGCACAGTCACCGGGGCTGGAGAAGCGCCTTGGCCATCACAAAGCTTGTGAAGAAGTTCTGGGGTCAGTGACCATGTCAAAGGAGACAGGCTAGGGACAGGCCGGAATTCCGGTTATCTGAGGCAGACCTGAGCTCTGTGTGAGCCGGAGTGCCGACGGCAGCTGTGATCTGAAAACCCAAGGTTGCCTGCTCAAGGAAACGCACATCGTACTACTTAAGATGAATTTATCTCTGCCTTTCAGCCCGTTTCCTTCATTCTAAGTCCAGGACACACTGAATTCCACCCCACCAAACCTCAGGATGTGGTGGCGACTCTGGGGAGAACGAGACAGACATCTACGTCCAATGCCGATTGATTGACTCAAGAAGACTCCTCTCTGCACCTCAGGCAGCTCTCCCATAAAACGCTCAACGGGAGTCCCTTCCTGTTCCAGTATCTGCAGATCCCATGAGGAGCACTCATCCTTCTGAACGGACACCCTCGAGGTTTCCAGATGGGGCAAACAAACCCAGTCCTGCGGCCTGAGCCCCACGACAACGGCCCCAGACAAAGGCCCTCTCATCAAGCGGGATGCGGCTGGAGGCCCCTCGCTGAAGAGGAAGCAGTCTAGAGCAAAATGAGATCCCAACAGAACTACGCCTCTTAGTAACAACAGATTGATGTGCGCCTCTGCCGGGCGGGGGGAGGAGTGTGCAAGTCGGAAGAGCTCTCATTCCCATCTGCCGCTTAGGAGGAGCGCGGCCCACTAAATCCGTGTGGCGTGCCATGTGGAAGGAACGTCGGAAGGGAAACAGACTCAAACGAAAATGGAGTTGTACAGTTGGCTGCCGGCGGCTCTCGGGTGGGCACGTGGACAGCCACAGAGGCTGCCACCTTCCGGACCTCGCCATCCTGAGAGGAACAGGGTGCTCCTCGGCAGAGCGCCCACATCACTCCTGCGGTGGTTCACTAAATGTCACTTCCCTACTGCGGCTGCAGACAGCAACAAAAGGCCCCGAGTCACTGGAAAATCTGTGTTCCGATGAGGAACTGTGAACACTGAAGTCAGCGCTTGTCACAGAGCACACTTTTCAAATGGCATTTTAATTATTTGTATGGTGACAAGCTGTTTGCTCAATTATGGGACTTTGGGGACTATCCTGTCAATCAAGTCTGTCAATTAGGAAAACATTCGGATGCCAATTTTTTTAAAGGCATCTCTGTGACTCTGATATGACTGGAAGTCACGGGTGCCGCCATAAATGAAGAGATTTACATTCCTCAAGAGAACCTCCACATATTTCAGAATCTCGATTCCATCACACATGAGCCAATTTATAACTTTTCAGGTTTGATAAGTGTGATTTAGAAGGGGGAGGAGTGGGGCTGCTTTTCCGTAACAGCAAAGGCACCTCTCCACGGTCCAGACGGAAAGAAAACCCATCAGAGCACATGAACTCCAAGAGCTGTGCTCCACTCGGGAGGGCTCCTACACACTGTCCTGCTGTCCCTCTACCCTCAGCCTGTCCCTGTGTCCCCGAGTCCCTCCATGGCCAGAAACAGGAAGAATGAAAGTGGGGATAAGACAGCGGTGGCGCCATGTCCTCTGTGCCCTGCCCCTCTGCCAAGGTGTCAGAGGCCATGCTTTCTGACAGCTCCCCGGGCCCAGCCCAGCTCTCCCAGGTCTAGGCCATGGCCTGTGGCAGCAGTGGAGGTTTGGAAGACACCCGGCATTTGGCCCATGTAACAGGTCTTCAAATAGTTTAAAATGCCCAGTGTAGGATGATGACGTGTCCTTCAGGTGACTGTGGTCTGATCACCTTGTCACAGGGTCACTGTGAGCATCGGTGAGGTGGGAGGGGAAAAGAGATGCCAGCGTGCCTCTCCCATCTTGTTTCATAGATGGCGACACAGAGAGGCGATCCCCTGCCACCCCTGCCCCGCCCCTGCAGAGAGACAGAACTCTTGAGCAGAAAGCCAGGAAGACAGTGTTGGGGTTCACACTGCTGGACAGCTCACCCATTCCAGGAATGGGCACAGGAGAGCACGGGACAGCAGGGTCAGAAAGGGCCACCGCCTGGACACCAGTGGCAAAAACAGGAAGCCTCCTGCTTCAAGAACATCCCAGCTGAGAAACGGCCCATCCGTACAGAACATGCTGAACTACCCAGTCTTCGGTTCTTCCCCACCCCACCCCTCACCCCATCCCTCACCCCACCCCTCACCCCACCCCCAACTAGTCTTCTACAAAGCAGGCTCTTCCTTGCCAATGGCACAAGTTCCTACTGCCAACAGAGAGTTCTAGAAATACGATAGGATAAGGTACAGAGCTGTGGCCAGGAGCCAGGAGCCATGAAACCTAAGCCAGCTTCCCCTATAAATGAACCAGCAAACAGGGAAGCCCTCATCAGCTCAGGAAGAGTCCAGTGTTGACCTCTGACCTCCACACGTGCACTCCCAGGCAAGTATACTTGTGTATGAGCATACCCACACCCAGACAGACAGACACATACCACATGCCAGGACCATGAGAGACACTCTAGCTAAGTAGCTCCCTGGAGACTCATACTGACCTCGAACCTTCACTGTCTGAGAGAGAAGCTGCAGATGCTGGATACACGGGAAAGACCATCTAAATAAAGTGCTCCTGGTCTCGGTCACCTAGTGACTCCAGAGCCAGCGGGAACCGAGGCCTAAGAAATGAGCCACTGACTGCCCTCATCAGTGTCCAGTGGGCATGCACATGACCCTAATTCAGCCCAACAAAGGGGTGGCACCATTGCCAGAGGGACACCCCGCCCCCATACCTGGGGGCCAGACCAAGCTGTGAAAGCTGCTCTTCTGTACCGTGGCCCGTCCCTGGCAGGCACTGCTCAGGCTTGCTTTCCTGGAGGAGAAGAAAGGAAGCCATCAGAGGAGGAGGAAGGATGCTCCCAAAGCTTGGGCCCCACCTCAGGCTCCCTAAGGCCCAGGGCAGGGCGGCAAAGGCACACACCCAGGAGGAGGACCCGGACCCAGGAGGCTCTGGGAGGGGCATGTTTTGGCAGGTGCCCGTTACTTCCCTGCCTAGAAATATCGTAAGATTAAGCTGAGAAACATTTTTGACAGAAACGAGTCTGTTAGTTATCCGTAAGTGTTCCTGGCACCCAACCAAACGCCATCATCCCTGTCACAGAGGCACATGCTGGAATGGGGGTTGCCTGGATTCCTGGGGGTTTCACAATATTTTCTTCTAATTGCCAATAGAAATGTTCGAAAATGTTTGCACGCCATATTGTTCTCAGGGAAAATGAGAGAGCACTTCTCTCTTCCAATGCTGCATAATCCTATCGGGAAATGTTCCTGGGGCTTCCTGAGAGAACCTGGTGTGTCTAAGAGAACTCTGGGCCTCTGGGCCCACTGCTCTCGCCTGGGAACCCCAGGAGCAGCCCACTACGGTTCAGAGTTCCATTTCCCCACTTCTCAAACGGAATGAGGATGCCGATGCACTGGCTGCCGATCCATAAAACAGAAAGCCTGACACACAGTGGAGAGGGGAGCGGAGGAAGGAGGGGGAGGGGAGTGGGGGAGGGGGGAGGGAGGGAGCAAGGGAACAGGACAGACCACTGAGTCAGAAGAGGCCAGAGACCCTGTCAAGGGATGAAGGAGACAGAGTGAAATCACTTTGTGTGTGCCCCTTCCTAGGCATGGTGGCTCATGCCTATAATCTCAGGGAAAGTTGAGGCAGGAGGACAGCTGCAAGTTCAAGGTAAACGGGGCTCTATACAGAGTCTGTCTCAAGGGGGGTGCACATAAATCAACAGAACAGTGATCATCCTAAAGTATGAGTGCTGGAAACTCGTTGAAACTATGCCCTCAACTGTTGGTTAGACGCAGGTCTTGCTATGTTAAGTCCTAGCTGGCCCGACACTCACTGTGTACCTGAGCTGGCCCCCGACTTGTGACAGTTCTCCTGTCTTTTACTTCGGGGTTCTTTGTTTGCTTTAGGGGTCTTGATTGGGGTTTTGTTTGTTTGTTCTGATTGTTCGGGGGTTTTTGTGTTTTGTTTTGTTTTGTTTTGGAGACAGGACTTCACTATACAGCCTTGGCTGGTCTTGAACTCATAGAAATGCACCTGCCTCTGACCCCTGAGTACTGGGATTAAAGGCCTGTGCCACCATGTCCAGTTGTTGTTTGCTTTTATAAATACAAAAGCAGTTGACATAACTATTCATTTATTATTGACTGAATAATTAAACTATGTGACTTAGGCTACCACAGTTAACAACTTTTCACTCAGTCAATTCAGAAATACAGATCTATCTGAATAGCTGTATTTCCATCCTTTAGAGAAATACTTAATTTCATCAACACTCCTTACTTCACAGTGGCATTCTCCTTAATTCCAACTGTTGAGAATCTAGATACCCTACAAATAAGAGGTCTTTGAAATATAATTCTGCCTAAAATTCTAGAACATTCTGCCCTCTGATAAACAAACGAGACAGTCCTTTATGCTGTAAGTCGGCCTCAGGACAGCATCTGTATTTGTCCTGACTCGCTCAGACCCTTGGCGGTAACGCAGCAGGTGGCAATCCACAGCAGCATGCCAAAGAACACTTAGATCTGCACACAGTGCTGCAAGGCCCCGCCTCCCTTTGACCTCATGGAATCCGATGCACCCAGTCATGTTTCTGGTAGTGTTTGCATAGCCTCCTGGTTTTTCAGACCACCTCCGGAAGCAATCGTTCAATAAACACACACCGCGTCCCTACGCCAGCTCCACAGCCAACAGAGCTGTCAGTGGTTTGTTTCTACTTCACGGAGCTCAGGGTGTGAGGAGGTGAGAAATGTTAGTCAAACAGTGAGTGTACAATTATAAATCCTGACAAAACGCATGAAGGAAAAGGTCATGGCCCGTGAGAGCAGAGCCAGCAGACCGGGTTAATCTGGCATGAAAGGAGGAGCTGAGCTGCTGGTTAATTAAGTGAGGGGATCAAAGGGATCCTGACAGCACTAGGCGGTAGAAACAGCATGTGCAAAGGCCCTGGGGTAGACTCCGTTTTGATCAATTATGCTGAAGAGTAGAGGGAAAAACAAGGCAGGACGAGCAACGGAGGTCAGAGTCAGAACACACAAGTGCTGTAGGATGCTGAGGACCTTCATCATCACTGTAGGAACCCTGGGAAGCCGCTAAAGAGGTTGCGCAGGGGCTGAAGACATTTGGATCTGAGTGAGCTCTCAGCACCCACGTAAAAGCTAGGCACAGTTATGCGGGCCCGTAACTCCAGAGCCGTGGCAGGTGGAGGCAGGGGGCTCCCCAGAGCTCGCTGGCTGAAAGTCTAGTTCCAGATTCAGTGGGAGACATGGTCTCAAGGAGATAAGGCAAAAAGTAATAAAGCAAGACACCCAATGCCCTCCCCTGGCCTCCTCAAGCATACATGCACATGCATGTGCACGCACACATGTGCACATTACCACATATACACACACACATACATACACACACATCAGTAACTACGGAAGTTTTAAGCAAGGGGCAACATAAACCAGGACCCACCTTAGACAGGCCAATCCAACCACAACACAGAGAACGAGGAAGAGGGGCTACGATGGACTCAATACACAGCCTGACGGAGCCTGGGAGAGGGAAGGTGGTCCGGAGTGGAGAGGGGCTGGGGGAAATGTTCACATCGGGGCAACACTTACTCTGCAGCCTCACAGGCCTCCATGGAGGGAGTCTGAGAAGGGCCATGTCCGGCCATAGAGGGACAGCGGAGCCTTTTCCTACCCACTGCTTCAACAGAGGAAAACCCTAGTGTGCCCAGACCAACTCTGACTCCATGACCTGAAGCTTGCGCTTGGCTGGCTTAGTGTGTGGGTGTGGAGTGCAAATGGCCATCTGGCTTGTCTGGTTTGGAAATAAGAATGGAGTCGTCCTAAAGGCCATGCGTGGATGATCAGGGAAAACCAGGAGGTAGAAGCCAGATACACGAAGGGGCTGGCCGGAGGAGGGGCCATTAAGAGGGGGGAGAAAAGCCAGAACACTGAGGCCACACGGGGAAATTGCTCGGGACAGAGGCGGAGAGATGGAGAGAGGCCCAACAAATCAGGGGCTTTCAGAGATCGCAAACGAATTCTCATGTATCGACCCAACCCTGCAGAGCCGGGACCAAAGAGGCTGAGCTGACAGCCACGGCAAGACTCACTGGTGCTATCCTCACCAACATAACTTAGTATTTTAAAACATAGGTTATGTTGGAACCCTTCTGTGGTGGTTAACATTGCCAAGGCGACAAGATCTGGGCTAGGTTCCTTAATCCGGCAAGACCCACCCTAAATGCGGGCTGAGGTCCTGGACTAGACACAGAGGAGAAAGCCAGCTGAGCGCCAGACTTTACCTCTCTGCCTCCTGTGGACAGAATGTGACTGGCCGCCTCATGTTCCTGTGCCCTTCACGTCTCTACCATCTTGGGCCATGCTCTCTAGCTGGGAGAACCGTTTTTGTCAGACGCTCTGTCCCAACAACGAGACATGCACCTAGTACATCTTCTTGTAATTGATAAAGAAACCTCAGCGTGGGAAAAACAGCTTGCCTGGCGTCTGCAAGCCAGAGGCTGGCAAAGCCAGGCTCTGTTGGCCCCTCCTCCTCCTCGTCCACCTGCTCTTGGCCCCTTTCCAGTCGGGCCAGCTCACCGAAACCCAGCATTATGGCGTTTATTTCACTCACACCAATGGAGGCAAACCTGACCACACAAAACCAAAGGCACTCAGGGCACCTGCCAGGCCACACACACACACACACACACACACACACACACACACGCTTACCTCCTTGATTGTGGCGTTCCTTCCCCTCCAGGAAAACCACCATCTGCCTCCTTTTTTGGGCATCTTATCCCTCATGATGGATTCCACAGTGGCCTGTTTTAAATGGATGGTAACATAAATAATGGAACCAAAAAAAAAAAAAATCAACTTAGCACACTTGAAACAAAACAAAATGTACTTGTAAATCAAAGGAGACGGAATAAATAAATAAATAAACAAAACATAACGCAACATACTGTGGGTGGACTGAAAATTTTAGAAAGGCAAAACCTAATGGCGTCCAAAATCACGTGAAGGTAACTGAGGCACGAAGACTTAAGAAGATGGGAAAAGAACCAACAACAACAAACAGAACACAACAGAAGGACAGGGAAGAGAGAGTGGAGATCATTAGTGGTTAGTAGGTCTGCCGTGGCCCGTTACAATGGCTGACTGGTTATGACGCTCTCAGTCTCAAGTGATTACAAAGTAAGACAGCAAAGAAAAATGATCGCTATGGTACAGGATCCAACAGCTCTAAACAAAAGTCAAAATACACGGACTTTTTTTTTTTTTTTAAGTAACTAGAAGTTTCCAAAGCTTAACTTGATTTAAAAATCAAGAGTTAAAAATAAAATTCATATGGACACCTTGAATACGTCAAAGTTTGATGGGGAAACTAAATATGAAATAATGATTTTATAAATATTTCCAAAGAACAACGTCTGTCTTAAGGCTATTTTGGGCCCAGGCAAATGTTATCTCATTTTCCTTCCTCCTTTTAGACTTTGTAAGTAGCTCTTCCCTCAGCTAGTGAGGAAAGACTTCATCTTTCAGCCTAACAGGTACAGCTAGTAGACAAATGATTCACAGGTTCAGCCTCAAGTGTGGAATTCCTACTTAAAAGCTCCTCGGCTGACACAGAAGACAGACCGAGCCCACTAAAATGCAAACCATGCATACGATGTTCAGGGACCGCACGCTCCATAAACCTATTGTCTACTTCCCTCCTCCTCCCCACCAAATCCATCCACACATAACAAGCCCCAGATGGAGTCTAAGGTTCTTTTGAAGAATCAACCAACAAAAACAGCACAGGAAACCCTCAGACGGCATTACAGTAGGTAGGGGCCAGTCCTGGGTGCTTTACATCTACAGCAACCTAAAAACTCAGTGCTGGTTCATGAGCAAACACATCACCGGAACAGAAAATCTCCAGTTCAAATGAAGACACGAGCCTAAATGCATAGCTAAATGAAGCCACCAGCCACCGGTCAAGATGGCCACCTAACCAGGGACACCGGGGCGATCCAGAGGGGATTCTGAACTGTTTGGGACCCTGTAAGTCGAGCACCTGCCTCCCTCCAAGCTGTGGTCCAGAACCAGGCAGCAACGTGTTCAGGGAGACCCTCAGGGGAAGGTGGACCCAGCTCCAGAAACAAAACCCCACTTGGACTGTGCCATTCATGATCACCTGTGCCAAGAACCGATTCAGAAGCGGTCATGCTTTGGGCGATGAGACATGGAGAATCTGTCTTGACTATGTCAGGAAATGTGTGAAGCACGGACACCCCAAATCATACGGGCACCCCAAATCACAGAGCATTCATTCAGCCTGCCAACCATTATCACGGAAGATACTAAATCCATAACAGTTAAGCTACTGATTATGTTCTCCAGCAGAAAGGATCCTGACTCGGTAACCATCTGGAGCGGGGAGGGATTTGAGTTCCCAAGTCTCCCTCCATTACTCTCAAGATAAAATACTGATGGATCAAAGATTGAAAGTAAAAGGAAGGACTGAAAGAAAATGTGGGTTATTTTACAAACGAAGAGGTAAGGGCATTTTAATGTGCTAGCTATGTATAATACAGACTAAACGCTACACAGAAAATCACTTCCATGTTAGAGAAACACCGTCAGCAGAGCCTCGACTCCTAAGTCTCCAGCTCACAGCCCTCCGGGACTCGCCTGTCCCCTCCCCTGTAAGCTCCCCCTCTGCTGCAGGACTCTCCTCCTCCTTCCCCTTTTCAACCCTTGAAACCATATCCTGGGCTCTGGATACAAGAAGAACCCGGCAGGGACGTAACTAAAATCACCTTACAGAACACGCCTCAGTCCAGTCCACAAATACAGAAAAGGGTCACCACATACAAGCTCACCACCCAAACTAGGGCACACACACAACCTTGCAGAGGCAAGTCCGTTGTAAACAAAGTGAGAGTGCACCTCCCAGAACCTCAGACTCTGGAACCACCTGACCGAGGCCACCAGGCACAAACCCGCCTGAAGCTCTGCAGCCCACGAAAGAAGATACAACCAAGACCCCAGCCACTCGAGGCAAGCCGAGGAGACCAGCACTCCATGGCTGGGGGGCCTGACCTCCTCACTCAGCTCTGCCTTGTAGCCACCCCCTGTTCTCACAGGCAGGCGCTGAGCTACACAAGCCACATCCTCACCCCTGCCTCCCCATCCTCACCCCTGCCTCCCCATCCTCACCCCTGCCTCCCCATCCTCACCCCTGCCTCCCCATCCTCACCCCTGCCTCCCCCATCTTCATCGCTGCCTCCCATCCTCACCCCTGCCTCCCCCATCCTCACCCCTGCCTCTCCATCCTCACTCGGCCTCAGTGAACCAGGCACAGGGCTGCTGACAGTGGCAGCTCCTGCATCTGACCCAGTGTCCGCTTTCAGCCTTCCATAGTTAAACTTCCTCTCCTCGGCCTCCCTTAGTTCTGCTCTCTGGGGTCTGCCACTCTGCCCACTTGTAATCCCGGCCTAGGAGGCATTGGGAGTGGGATCGTGGGCCTACAACGCCATCATTTTCAAGGCTTGCCCTGGTGAGGAAGGGAAGCGTGATCAACGTGGGAGAGAGAGATCTGAAACACTGACGTGGGCCCTCATGAGCATCGAGACACCATGGCCGCGGACTTCTAAAGTCGATCGCGAGTCTCCCAAACCTGTCCCTCCTCGGGCCCTTTTCTTAATCGTGCTAGCGCTCACCTTTGGCAAAGGTTTCTGGAAAGCCTGCATCGCCAGAAGTAGAGGAGCTGCTGTTGTCCAATTGTAGTACCTGCAAGACGAGGAGACACGTCAGAAGAGGGGGGCGGGGACAGAGCCTTTCTGCTGTCACGAGGAGGTCCTGGGACCCCAGTGAGGTCCTCTAACAAACTTCCCAGCCCTCCACACGGACCCTGTCTACACACTGACCCCCTTCCCAGCCCTCCACATGGACCCTGTCTACACACAGACCCCCTCCCCAGCCCTCCACACGGACCCTGTCTACACACGGACCCCTCCCCATCCATCCACACGGACCCTGTCTACACACAGACCCCTCCCCATCCATCCACACGGACCCTGTCTACACTGACCCCCTCCCCAGCCCTCCAGACGGACCCTGTCTACACACAGACCCCCTCCCCATCCATCCACACGGACCCTATCTACACACAGACCCCTCCCCAGCCCTCCACACGGACCCTGTCTACACACAGACCCCTGTCCAGCCCTCCACACGGACCCTGTCTACACACAGACCCCTCTCCAGCCCTCCACACGGACCCTGCCTACACACAGACTCCCTCCCCAGCCCTCCACAAGGACACTGTCTACACACAGACCCCTCCCCATCCATCCACATGGACCCTGTCTACACACAGACTCCCTCCCCAGCCCTCCACACGGACACTGTCTACACACAGACTCCCTCCCCAACCCTCCACACGGACCCTGTCTACACACAGACCCCCTCCCCAGCCCTCCACACGGACCCCATCTACACACAGACTCCCTCCCCAGCCCTCCACACGGACACTGTCTACACACAGACCCCTCCCCAGCCCTCCACACGGACCCTGTCTATACACAGACTCCCTCCCCAGCCCTCCACACGGACACTGTCTACACACAGACCCCTCCCCATCCATCCACATGGACCCTGTCTACACACAGACCCCTCCCCAGCCCTCCACACGGACCCCATCTACACACGGACCCCCTCCCCAGCCCTCCACACGGACCCTGTCTACACTGACCCCCCCCCTCCCCAGCCCTCCAGACGGACCCTGTCTACACACGGACCCCCTCCCCAGCCCTCCACACGGACCCTGTCTACACACAGACCCCTCTCCAGCCCTCCACACGGACCCCATCTACACACGGACCCCTCCCCATCCATCCACACGGACCCCATCTACACACGGACCCCCTCCCCAGCCCTCCACATGGACCCCATCTACACACAGACCCCCTCCCCAGCCCTCCACATGAACCCTGTCTACACACAGACCCCCTCCCCAGCCCTCCACACGGACCCTGTCTACACACAGACCCCTCCCCATCCATCCACATGGACCCTGTCTACACACAGACCCCTCCCCAGCCCTCCACACGGACCCCATCTACACACGGACCCCCTCCCCAGCCCTCCACACGGACCCTGTCTACACTGACCCCCTCCCCAGCCCTCCAGACGGGCCCTGTCTACACACGGACCCCCTCCCCAGCCCTCCACACGGACCCTGTCTACACACAGACCCCTCTCCAGCCCTCCACACGGACCCCATCTACACACGGACCCCTCCCCAGCCCTCCACACGGACCCCATCTACACACGGACCCCCTCCCCAGCCCTCCACATGGACCCCATCTACACACAGACCCCCTCCCCAGCCCTCCACACGAACCCTGTCTACACACAGACCCCCTCCCCAGCCCTCCACACGGACCCCATCTACACACAGACCCCTCCCCAGCCCTCCACACGGACCCCATCTACACACGGACCCCCTTTCTCCTGTTCACCTCACAGCCATGGTGAAGGGGAAGGGTCAGCAGCAGACAAGGCAGTAGGGTGAACATATGAACATGCCACTAGCAGCCAGTGACTAGCTGGACAGCAGCCAAGTCCCCTGGGCGGTCCCTGCTCCAAGCCATGTCCTACTGAACTTCACAGAAGGGGACAGGTAACTGAAACCTCCTAAGGCACTACATGAAACACTTGCAACTTCCTCGCAGTGGGGAAAGCCGGCCAACAGTCTGCAGGACCCACTGCGGACCACAGACTGAGCTTAGATGGTGATGTCTCTATGCTAAAGAGCAGCTGTGCCCTTAGACCTAGGACCAGATAGGGCTGGGGTCCCACAGTCGGAGCACCATGCCTGACACGGTCAATGTCAAGTCTGTACAGGCACGTGTTAAAATCCACAGGCGGGGCTGGGGAGCAGCTCAGTAGACGCAGTGCCTGCCATCGTGAAAACGTAAGAACCCAGTTCCTGATCCCCGGCACCCACACTGCTGGCACAGACCTACAATCCAGAGCTGGGGAGGTGGGGGCAGGAGGATACCCAGAGCTTGCCTGTCTGCCAATTAAACAAACCAGCAAATTCCAGGTGCAGCGGGACACCCTGTCTCCAAAACTAAGGTAGAAGGCCAGGCAATGTAGGAAACGCCTTTAATCCCAGCCACTACAGAGGCAGAGACAGGCAGATCTCAGTGAGTTCGAAGCCAACATGTTCTACATAGTTCCAGGACAGCCAGGGCTGCACAGGAAGACCCCGCCTCGAAAAGCAAAAGCAAACCAAACCAAACCACAAAAAGGTAGAGTGATCAAAGACAATGTGGACTTCTGGCCTGCACATGCATACATACACACATGCATACACACCATGTACCCACGCCACACATATACACTTACACTGAATACACACACACATACACACACACGCCACAAGACTCTCAATGATCTCAGTCTAGCAGCTGCATGGGGACATAGGAACATAGAATTTTACAAATAAAAAAAGACAATAATTAAGTTCAACAAGACTTCACTAAGGCTTGACGGAAACACCACCATTTCACACCAAAAGGGCTGTCAACAGGAACTTACTTATTTCCAATCTTGACCACGAGATTGGGGTCATCGATGATAGCGGGGTTGTCGGCAAACTGCTGATACGACACAGCTTGTTCCAAGAATGCATCTGTGGCAGCAGCCATAGGACAGAGGGGAAAACAATCACAAAGTGTCTTTTTTAAAGAAACAGACCACTTTTCAGCTTGCTCACTCTCCTGTGTTTGTCTGAGTGTTTACGAATTGCAGTTCATCAGGCAAGCCTGCAAATCCTACAAAACGCACTTGTAAGGAGGGAGCTTGAGCTTGGCTTGCTATTGCTGTTGGGGTTTTTGTTACTGGCTGGGGTGGCGTCGGATTCTCTTAAGACATCAACAAATGTCGGGGGGGGGGGGGCATGGAGTCTGCATGCAGAAGCAGAGTCGTGTTTACCAGGGACACCAGCTTGAGTCACTTGTGTTGCTGAGGCCTGAGACAAAAGACTAGACTCAACCTCAGTGATCTCCCCACTAGCTAGCATAAGCATGATGCTCATGGCCACTTTCAGGGGTCCTGAAGATGGGAGAGGACGGCAGTCAGCATCCTGCCCAAAGTGAGGGCTTCATCAGCGTTGGCAGCTGCAACGCCGGTGCTGACCATGCTCATCCTCGATCGTCTTGGAGAGGGCAGCCTCACCCAGCTCAGTGCAGGCCTTCCAGGCAGGAAGGTTGTAGGATCAGAAGGCCCCGTCCTCAGCCCTGAACCAGAGATGAGTGTCTCTGGCCAACGACACTGACTTCCCACAGCTTTCCCACTCAGCTGGGCCATGTACTGGCCTCGGATTGGAGCTCACTGACCCCAATCCATACACACGCCTCCCTTGGGGACTCCTACAGCTCTCAGGAACTGCTGTGGGATGGTCTGTATGTCAAATGTGTTGCTCTGATTGGTCAATAAATAAAACATTGATTGGCCAGTAGCCAGACAGGAAGTATAGGCGGGACTAATAGAGAGGAGAATTGAGGGAACAGCAAGGCAGAGGGAGAGACTGCCAGCCGCTGCCATGACAAACAGCATGTGAAGATGCCGGTAGGCCATGAGCCACATGGCAAAGTATAGATTTATAGAAATGGATTAATTTAAGATGTAAGAACTAGATAGCTAGAAGCCTGAGCCATTAGGCCAAACAGTTTAAATAATATAAGCGTCTGTGTGTTTATTTTATAAGTGGGCTGTCGGACTGCCGGGGCTTGGCAGGACCCGGAGAGAAAACTCCAGCTACAAGGAACCAAGACCCAGAAAACAGCAGACCAAGAGGTGACCCCTGTCAGGGAGAAAAGTGTCCCTTGGCCTCCACAGGAACCCTCAGAATCCTAATGGAGGCCCAAAGTACTCTCTGGAGCTTCCAGCCACATCTGATGACTCAGGACCTCAGAATTCCCACCACCACCCCACTGTGCACATACAGGCAGGGAATGTCCATAAGTTACCAGCCTCCCAACTCCTCTAGCGGTAAGGGAGCAAGCTGCCCCATCACAGCTCAGGAACATAATAGACCCAGTGCTCAGAGCTGTGGTCTAAGAAGATACCAAGGATAAAAGGAACAAGCCGCTAGGAAGGACTGGTGACACCCAGGCCAGAATAAGAGGACCCAGTCTCTGCATAAGGATCTGCAAAGCCTAGGAGGGACTTCACAATGGTCACTGGAGCAGGAAGAGGAAGAAGTGTGGTCACTGAGAGCTTGACCATCCCCCGTTAGAAACAGAAAAAGCTGTGGTGGAGGGAGAGACGGGGACAGAGGGAAATAGGTCTGGTTCAAGAATTCAACAGCCAATAGCTGCTGCTGCACCAGCAAAGGGATCTGAGGTGCGACTCACATGGACCTGTCACAAGACATTCATTCGGCTGTCACTTTCCAGTACAGCACACGGTATGCGTAAGTCACCAAGGCCTACCAGCATGGCAGCTTCGGGAACCCAGTGGGGAAACATTTCCAGAATCCCCCAAACTGACTCAACCTGCCTTCCCTCCTCTACAAGATTTCACACACACACACCCAAAGCTCTGTTACAAAAAGACTGATGTGCCTAGCCCCCAACCCCCCACTTCCATCCCCCAACCCCTGCCGGGGTCCCACCCCACTCCCCACACCTGCATGTTCACCGTGAACATTTTTCAAGGCCGGCCCTGGGCACAGGGGACACTCAACTGTGCTCAACGATCACCTCTGAGGATAAGTGCCCCCAACGGCCTTCTTGCTGCCTGAAGGCCCTTGCACCCTGTCCTTGTACTCTGAGGACAGCCAACTGCAACAGGACATGTGTGGGGCCAGAGAACAGTGAACCTCTGCGCTCTCAGCCACCACAAACAGCAGCTAGAGGACTGATCCAAGAAGCCTCAGCCCCCGACCCTTCTGACCAGCGGCCACTAGAGGGTGCTGTCCCGTACAGCCTAGTACCTTTGGTGATGTCCCTGTGGTCACTGAGGCCACCGCAGAGGGAGATGGCTATGGAGGGCAGGTCCCTCAGGCCATCCGAGGTGCTCTCCACACCACTGTCGATGCCCGAACTGCCCACGGACTGTGGGGACTGGTTGGCTGACCTGGCTCCATTGTCGCAGGCTTGTTTGGGGAGCCCCGCAGGATCGCCACTGAAAGGAGGGGAGAGGGAAGCTGCTCTGAGCACCCTGCTGTCCTCACCCCTACTATTCTATTAAATTACCCTCCAGAACGCAGCACCACCTCAGAGAAGCAACTCTGTCACCTGAGGGCAGCTTCACCATCAAAACATCGGTACAGACAGCAAAGTCAAACGATCCACCTCAGTAGGGCCTGCCACAGTCTCCAAACCCATCTGAAGTAAACCTCAGAGAAAGCGTGTGCCCGGGAGGCCACTGTTACCCCCCCTGGCCCTGGCCCTCCCTGTATCTCAAGGGAGCTAAGGCTGGGTTCCCCAAGGACTGAATGTGAATCCCTCCAGGGAGGACCATACAAAGGTCTCTCTCACTTAGATCGTGGGCCACTGAGAGCCTTGAGCCCACATTCCTATAAAGAGGGTAGAGGACAGACACTTGTCTGTCCATCCCCTCAGCCTCCCAACCCCTAACCACCCCTACACACACACACACACACACACAGTCTCACGCAGCACACAGAGCCCAGGCTGTGCCCAGGTTCAGTATGAGCCTTCAATGTCCCTGCTTCCTGTCCAATTGGCCAGGGCAAAATGGGCTCCTCTCGGACTACAGAAAATGTTATCAAGGCCAGATGTGATGGCTCAATCCTGCAATCCCAGCAATCAACTGAGAAGCTGAGGCAGGAGGACCACCACCAGTTCAAGGGTACCCTAGACTACATAGTGGGACCCTATCTCGAAAACCAAAGCATAAAGTAGTTTGAGTAATGAAAGGGACTTTTACTTCTTGGGGAAATACAGGGCTGCCACTTCAGGGTCCATGTCTGTGAGGTCATCCAGATAGACGCCATCAGCTCCAAGGTGTCGACTCCGTTTATCTGAAAGTAAATGGAGTGGGTCAGAAACCAACTCACAGGTTGCCATATCCAAAGTGTAGATCTGCTCCCCGGTGGCCTGGCTGCCCCTGGCCCAGGAGCCACACGGTGAGAAGCCGGCAAGCGCATCACTGCAGAACTATCAGACTCCGGCTCTCCCTTCCTCCTGGCCCAGAGGAAATCAAGCACTTAGCCTCAGCCCTCATCTGCAGAGGACCTGACAGGTTCCAAGCCCTCCGCACTGAAGCTATGATTACCATAATTACTGGCTGTGGATGACAAATCCTTTCCTGAATACTTCCCTGCTGACACTCTAAGGCACAGTACCCCGACAGCGGCATGATGGGTCCCCGTGCACCAGGCCCATGGACTTCCTCTCTGCTAAGAACTGTGTAGCTGGTTCACACAAACCCAGAGTGTTCACACCAAGCTATCTGGCTAGCCAGGGTGGGCTCAGCATCATCACTCGTCAGCATGGACGGTGAGCTGATCGGGCTACACTGTCACTGACACAGTCAGGGAAACAGAAAGGTCTCTAACAATGCTAAACGTGTCTGGCCCCACGCTAGACAAGGGACACGCAATCTCCTCACTTGGTAAAAGGGCACACATTAAAGATTCAACGCGATGGATGCCGTGGATGTGGGTCTGCTCTGATACACTGGAAACTTCGGAGGAAGCTGCAGTGTCTGGTGTGAGCAGCGTGCCTGGGGGTGAGCGGGGAGCCCAGGCTGGGCTCCGTACCTTTCTTCCTGGACGGGGAGTCTGTCTTGCTTGCTGCCTGCGTTGTGCAGGCAGCCGGGGGCTTCAGCTCTTCGGCCACGGGTAAAGGTGGGGCCGAGGCTCCTAAGGCCTCAAGATCCTCCTCATTCACAAACTGCATTTCCATCTGAGTCTTGCTCTGCTGCACCAGCGGCCCCGGGGCCAGGGTTGGTGACTGGTCACTGAAAGTGTCTGAAGACTCACTATGGATGGCCTGGAAGTGGATTTTATCGGGGATCTTCCGGCTCCCTAAGGGACTGGAGTCCTTCATCTTGTGTGGAGAAGAAGTCTAGAAGAGAGAAGGGAGTGCTGAAAGCCAGGCAGAGAGCAAAGCCGAGGTCAGTCAAGGATCTGCCGCAGACTCTTCAACCCCAGGGACAGCCTGGTGAGCCCCACGCGGCTGCCTAGAGAAGCCAAGAGCAGCAAACGTGTTCCAGAGAAAACGCCACAGCCCTGGTATCCCCCCTCACCACGGCAAAAGCTTCACCAAACACACCGGGTCCCGGCTCTTCCCCTACACTGCCAAGACTGGAGGAGACAGAATGGCATTGTGGGAGCTGTGGACACTTAGGGTCCAGAATCAAAGGCATTGTGGGAGCTGTGGACACTTAGGGTCTAGAATCAAAGGCATTGTGGGAGCTCTGGACACTGAGGAGGGACACGATGGCCAGCTGCGGCAACTCTGACACATCTAACTCTAACTCACGTGCATGCATGGTCACCAGGCCACGTCACCAGGCCACGCGTGCCTGCTGTTCTGAGGACCGCCCCGCCCCACCCCATGCTGGCCATCTCCCAGGAGCTCTGTGCGCTCCCCATCTTCCTCATTCTCCTCTGAGTCTAGGCAGATCTCAGTTGTATTTACGGCTGCGAGTAAAAGTTAAACATGCACAAGGACGAAAAGAGGAACTGCTTCCAAAGAGGAGTGAGAGAGACAGTGAGGTGAGCCTCAGGCCACACGTCCAGCGGCCCCCAGGGTGCTCAGCAGAACGGGAAGCAGACCTCACACCTCACGGTGGGCTTCTCTACAGCAGTGAGAATAAACGCATCCCGTCGGCCCGGAACAACACGGGGGACCCTGCAAAAAGCAGTCCCTGCGCCCACGGGGCAAGCAGGCGGCAGTCAGCACGGGCAGCCGCCGGGAAGCCTAAGGCTCTCCACGCTGCTGGCCCCCCACAGCCCCTCTGGGACCTGGGATCCGGCTGACAGACACACACACACACACAGTGTGAAAATACAGAGCTGCACACTGCAGACCTGTATCTCTCCAGATATACATGTATCTGATTTCAATAAAGTTTCTCCCCCAAACCGCAACTCAGGAGGCCTGGTGGGGAGGGGAAATTTACCGCGCAGGGATCTGCGGTCACAGAAAAGTGCAGGCAAACAAAAGCTGACACACACCGGCAGGCCCCTCCCTATCTGACACCCCTGGGTCCCTCACAAACAAAGACAGGTCACAGGAGGATTGCAGTTAGAGCCACCTAGCCAGAAGTGACTGGCCTGCACTTGGACATCCAGTCGTGATCTACAGTCTAAGTTCACATGATGAAAACACACAGGCTTCACAAAGCCCCGTAACACACGCTCACTGAGTCACAGCCCCGGCGTGCATCCCTTTGCAATGCCGGGATACTAATTCCACGCAACTGGAGCTAACGTACGCAGAAACCCTCAGTGGACCGCGGAACTGAGACAAACAGGCTTACCTTTGCAGCCTGCGGCAACTCGCCCCAAAGCCAGAGCATTTCCAGGTTACTCTTCGGTGTTGACCTGTCCGCAGACTTACTCACCAACTCAGAATCACTCTTTGGTGTTGAGGGGCGGGAGCCTGAAGGACTTAAGAAAACACAAACCCATCGTTTGAGTGAGAAAAGAAAAGCCTTTGTTTTTGTCCCCCAGTCACGGTTCTAAGCAACCCAGAAAATAGATCTCTGCTGCTGTCCCCTTAATACAATCCCTCCTTTGGCCACCAGAGGTCAGTGTGCACCACCTCCAACAAGGGGGCCTGCCTTGGAGCCAAACTAAGAAACAGGAGCTTGGGGGAGCAGGGGGATAAAGTCAGAACTTGAAACTCTCCAAGAATAAAAGAAGAAGGAGAAGAGGAGAAGGAGGAAGAATGAGAGAGGCAAAGAGACAGGGAAAGCGGGGGAGGGGTTCAGGTACAAACTGCTCTCCTGTCCTGTCCCTGCGCTCCCATTTTCCTATCAAGCATCTCAGCTTTCAGAGGTGTGCAAAGGGTCCTGGCCAGCTGACGCTCTATCCCAGGTAAACACTGGCTTTAAGAACAGGGAAAACACCTGGTGTGCCAACTTCATCACATTGGATCATGAGGCTGCTGTCTCCAGGAACACATCAAAGGCTTTTTGCCAACCCACCACACCTAAGTGATGGCGATACATCTCACCTCCACACTGGATATTTCTACTTCTAACACTTGAACCAAGTCCTATGTCCATTCAGCCAAATTAATGGGCTAAAACTAAGTCAACTTAGGTCCACCTTCTCAGACACCGAGCCGAGAGGCGGTTTCCTTTCTCTGTATTCTCACACCACTTCCTCAAGAGGAACACAGCAGCCTTTTTACAGAAGCAGGAAACAGCCTCTCCACAGACCCTATCTGTGTCTGTCCATCGCCCCCCCCCCCCCCCCCACTGCACTGAGTCTCACTTATCTAAGTCAAGTTCCACCTCCAGCTCAAGATGGCGTTTCCTGTTGGCACAAGCGGAGACCTCTTATACCATGGCCATGTGTAACTAGCCTGGCCCTGATGCTTCTGGGAAGCCAGACTACGGGCTATTCGACCCTCATTTCACAGTGATGAACGGAATTCCCTTTCCCTTGGGGCTCCGCTGACCACCAATCTTTCCAACGAAAGCATACTGCCATAGGGCGACCTTCATGTTCTAGCCCTGTCTGTGGGGAGGAAGCTCCTGGTACACCATACCATGACAAGTTCTACAATGGAACCCTACCACACCACACCACATCACACCATAACACACGCACACATGCACGCACATATATTTAACAATAAAAGCAGTTTTAAACCACCAGACACGGCAGCACACATCTTTAACCCCAGTACTCAAGAGGCAGAGGCAGGCAGATCTCTTTGAATTCCAAGCCAGCCTGGTCTACAAAGCGAGTTCTAGGTGAGCCAGGGCTACATGAGTGAGATCCTGTTTCCAAACAAACAAAATCCATGGGACTTTTTTTTTTTTGGGGGGGGGGGGTCAGTAAATATAATTAAGCGTGAGATTAAATTTTAAATTTTAAGTCAAATGAAATTCTAAAAGTTATGTTTCCCAGATAGAAATTAATCAATGCTTACTCTGGAAATAAAGTTTCAAAAGTAGATGAGGAAGTTTCAAAAATAGATAAGCAAATACTGAGGAACCAGAGGAGAAATCTCAGACACCTGATCCTAATAAAAACCCACACCCTAAGACACATCCTATGCCATTCTTCTAAATTCGTTCTAGAAATGCTGGGCAGAGTGTCTGAATCCATTATACAGACGGCCTAATAGGCTGTTTAAATATTTATAGTAAGTGGTTTGACTTATCTACTAAAGTGGCATTCTAAAAATAGCTTGTAGACTTGTCTGTCAATATGACCCACACAGGAAAGGCTGCACCTCAGTCTCAAGTTCCTTGTCCTGGTTTTCAAGGCCACCCAGAGAGTCTGGCAGCAGGATGGGAGAGACCAGTAGAGGGTCTTAAACAAGTCGCATTGGGACTCAGCGGTTAAGAGCACATGCTGCCCTTCCAAAGGACCCAGCTTAAATTCCCAGACCCACAAGGCAGCTCGCAATCCTTATAACGCTAGTTCCAGGGGATCCATCGCCCTCTTCTGGCCTCCTTGGACACTGCATACATGTGGTACATGAACATGCATGCAGGTGCACATTCATACCCATGAAAGTTAATAATGTTTAAAATAAACTAGACAAGTCTAATCGCCCACTGACGGCTTACAATAAAAGGAGGTAGGTATTGTTCATAAGTAAGTTGGTTAGTGAGTAAAATTGATTTAAGTGTTAGATTGGCATTTCTATTTCATATCTGTCAGTAAGTTTCTTCACAAGTCACTGGGTTAAGGTACGACGTAGAGGTTAGATCACGACTTCTGTAAGAACTGGTCTACCTTTCCGGAGGACGGAAGTGGGAAGGCTGTGGAGGGCAAGAGCTAGAAAGAATTCCCTCAGCCACCACTGCGAGGTGAGGGGGAGTCCTCTGGCAATCTACCAGGCTGCTGGAGGCACGAAAGATACACAACGAAAAGAAAGAAGAAAAAAACCACAGGTCAGTTCAATGCAATTTCCCATCGCCGCCGCTTTGGCGGCTCTCGGCAGTAACAATTCTAAGAAGGGAGACATTTGGCTGTTAAACAGCAAAATGTGAGCCCATGCTGAAATCAGCAGGAATCAACACGAACTGTCTTTGAGACAGTCCTGTTACCCAGGCTGGCCCCAAACTGGCTACGTGGCTGAGGATGGCCTTGAACTCCTGTTCCCGAGTGCTGCAGTTACAGGCATGGACCACTATGCCTGGTTTTGGCTGTGACGGGGAGCGAAGCCAGGACTACACACACGCTGGGCAAGCACTCCACTAACCCGAGCTGCTGCCCCGGCCGTCAGCATCACTATCTGGGCTGCAAAGAAAGGAAGCTGCCCAAAGATCCAGTGGCTTCCCATTTCATCCTGTGCCCTTGGCCAAGACAAAATGGCTGTGTCTGGTTGAAGCGGGGTGCTGAACCAAACTGCGAGATCTGAAGACCTGAACGTGGGTCCTGTCACTTGCCTCCTCAACAACATATCGTTCTGAGTGTGGGCGTGTCTACGTAACCCAATGTGTAATCCATTTGACAACAGTCACACAATCTGACGCCATCGGTATCCTGCACTCAGGAAGCAAGACAGACAGACAGACAGACAGACAGACAGACATGGTTTGTGCTGTTTGAAATCCTTCCTTTTACACTCTTCAGGCTAACGAACAGGTTCTTCAATCGATTAGCAGTTTCTAAATACCCTGCACTGTTTTCCTCCGAAATCACTGTGTTTTCTCTTCGTGGGGGTCATCTCCCCTGAACCAGGACAAGGACACATGCCAGGACAAGGTTCCAGGCATCTTAGGGATGTCCTGTCCTGAACAGTGAGCTACTGCTCATGTGCAGCCATGAAACTGACACGCCCTGGGTACAAAGACCATGTCTGACTTACTATAAACATCTTGTTAATGGTTTTGTCTTTGTTTGTTTGGGCTTCTTTTGTTTTGTTTTTCGGGACAGGGTTTCTCTGTGTAGCCCTGGCCTGGCTGTCCTAGAACTCGTTCTGTGGAGCAGTCTAGCCTCCAACTCACAGAGACCCACCTGCCTCAGCCTCCTGAGTGCTGGAATTTGTGCACCAGCACCACCCAGCTTGAAATATCTTGTTAATGTTTTTAAATGGATTATTCTACAAAATATGGGGCAAATAAAATCTACCTTTGAAATTATTTTCATATTTTTATGAAGGTTTATTGTGTGTGTGTGCGCGCGCGTGCGTGCGTGTGTGTGTGTGTGTGTGTGTGTGTGTGTGTGTGTGTGTGTGTGTGCCATGTATGTATAGATGTCCACAAAGACCAGAAGAAGGCATAGGATCCCTGAAGCAGGAGCTACAGGAAGCTGTGAGGCACCCAAAGTGTGTTCTGGGAATCAAACTCAGGACCTCTGGAAGAGCAAGAAGTGCTCTTCACCTCTGAGTCATCTCTCCGGCCCCAATTACACCAATTCAAAAAAGCAGCATGTGGTGGTTAAGCGTTAACTGCCAGCTTATCAGAATCTATATGACCTGGGAAATGGCCCCTGGACATGGCTGTGGAGGATTATTTTGATTTGGTGAATTGGGATGGGAAGACCTGACTACTGTGGGTGGCACTTTCCCTGTGGGATCCTGGACTCTGAACGGAGAGCGGGGGCTGAATAATGGCATGTATTCATCTCTCTCTGCTTCCCGATGGTGGATGTCATGTGACTTCAAGCCTCAAGCTTTGCCTTGACTTCTCTGTTATCAGAGACCAGACCCTTGAAGTGTGAACCAAAATAAACTGTTTTCTCCTTCAATTTCTTTTGTCGGGGGTATTTTATGAGAGCAAAAGGAAAAGAAACTAAAACAACATGTCTAGCAGAAAATGTTTAAACTACATCATGTAGCTAAGCATCAGGTACCTAATGGAAGGGCTGATCTCGAAGCAGGCAGACCCCTACTCTTGGTAAACCAACACTTCCTGTCAGTCCGAGCTGGAATCAGGTATGGGGCACATTCCACTTAGGCCACACTGCTGACTGCTGCTGACTCATTCTCGTGATGATGCTAAACAAACTGGAGCCAATGGGGTTGCTGTGACAAGGCTGGCAGCCCATGCCACAGTCCCAGGGTGCCACCACTTCCATCCTAAACTACAAGTGAACCTACAGCATCAGGAGGAACAGCCCAAGGGTGCCACAGCCACTGCTTCTCAGCCTCTTTTTCACTATCTCCACAACCCCAAGCATCTCGAGCAGGTTAACCACCTGTCCGCCACCCGCCATGGCATTCAAAGCTGTGCTCCCTTAGAAGCCACAAACGACTATCATGCCCAGGATTCGTCTGCCACCCAAGAACCAACCAGTTTTCACCCTAGCAGGGGTGAGCCTGTCCCAGGTTCTGGGCAGAACCTCTCCACAGGCCCTCCTGCGCTCATAGGCTCCATGGCTCTGAAAGCTTCTGGAGTCTAGGGAAGGTCACTTGTGCTCTGTGCAGCTGCAGCTCGGTTCTCAGGTTCACGGGGGCACACCAGGACAAGTGGAAAGGGCATTTCAGGGAAGCGTGCGGTCCTGAATCCAGCAGTGTGGATTAGCTGTAGGCCATCATCCCCTCGACAGTCCTCAGTGACGTCAGAGGCTCCCTGCAGCCGTGTCCCCACATTTGAACTTCACTTCAAGGCTAAGGCCCGCAGCCAGGTTGGCCACGCTGCCCTCTCCTGCCGCCAATGGGCATTGGGTAACTCAGCAGGGTTTGTTTTTTCTCCTGCATGCCTTCCCCACAGAACTTTGCAAACATGTCTTCAGACGGAGTCTAAATTCAAGTCTGAGGTTTGCTCACCTTCCATATTTAATCCTAACCTGTACCCCCCCACCCCACCCCCACCCACACACACACACTCTGGAGATATTCTGATCCTGATTATTTTCAGTTTTAATTTCTATTTCCCTGTTTTCTTAGACATGCCTCCTATAGCTGACTTCTCAGCCCTCTGGACCAGAAAAGGCAACTTACCTGGGGCTGGGGGACCACTCTCTGTCTGAATTGGGGTACGATGCTGACTGGGGGTACGATGATATTGAGGGGAGGTTCTCCTTGGGAATATCGTCTTGGAATGGCGGTACATCATTAGGAAGAGTTCTGGGGAGATTTAAAAAAAAAAGTGAAAAAATTACCAAGGGCAGATCCATAATAAAGCCACGTTTCTTCTTGATTACATCTAAGGGCTTCATTAACCAGCATGACCTCTGTCACACTCAGGCACATTCTAGAAAGGGAAGACGGACAAGGTAAAATGTCAGCACATATAAACGTGTGTTTGTGCATCTGCCTTGGGTGGACTGTAAACTTATAATGATTTCACCAGAGCATGAACACGATGAGCAGACCAGTGAAGTACCACTGATCTTCAAACGTGTGTGTGTGTGACTTCTGTACCATCCTCAAGTGTGTACATGTACCGCTAGAGCATCCTCAAGCGTGTGTGTGCCACTGTAGCATCAAGCGTGTGTGTGTGTGTGTGTGTGTGTGTGTGTGTGTGTGTGTGTGTGTGTGTGTTGCTGGGGATGGAACCCAGGACTCACACACAATAGGCAAGCACTCTACCACTGAGCTAAGGGAGCTATTACCTATTTTGCATATTTAAAGATAGAGTCTCACTAAATCACCCAGGCTGGTGATCCTCCTGCCTCAGTCTCCCCAGTTCTGGGCTTCCTGGTGTGTGCTACCATACCTACAGCATCTTTCTGTCACCTTTCATGTTACCCTCACCAGAGTCTGAGAGGCAGGTCAACTGGAACTGGATCCAGCTGTTCCAGAACATTCCCATATACAGGGGGACTGCCATTTAAATAAATAAGACCATGTCTTATGTACAGCCAGATAAATACATGGCATCAATCATGTGTATCTTTGAACTGAACATGTAAAACTCGCTAGCCTCAGATGGGAGCGCAGACATCACAATACACGGTTCACAATCCCACTCCTACAGAAGCCATCCGTCTGTACTTCCGTCGCTCCTGAAGGACCTGTGGCCGGTCTGGAAGGGAAAGCCGCAAAGGAAAAGCCGTGACAACCAGCCCGAGCCTAACGGCCCCAGTACCCACAGTAGTTAGAGGCCACAGTCAGCGAAGGCCGTGATGCCAGTCAAGATCTAGTATAAGCCATAAAAAGACATTTGAGGACTGGGGGGAGAGGCTCCATGGCTTGTCTGTCTAGCACGCACAGAGACCTAAGTTCGATCCCAGCATACAAAAATGGAGTGTGGTGGCTTATGTCTACGACCCCAGCCTTTAGGAGGTGGGGCAGGAGGATCAGAAGTTCAAGGTCATCTTCAGGCACGCAGGACCCTGTCTCAAAAATTAAAAATTAGTTTACTCTGAACAATGAATGGGGGAGACATTCTGTCCCTGGTGTTCTTTATGCCTTGTATATGTTAACGAGACATAAAAATTATCAAAAGCCACATGGGATTATATAAAAATCCGCAACAGCAAACATTCTTTAAAATTTAGTTTTCAAAGCTGACTTTTTGCACCACAATACATACTTACAAACAGGGCTTTGTGACAGTCTTAGAAGCAAAGGAAAATCAGAAGGAGACAAGGCCATTAAATGTGGTCATAATTCAAAGCAGAATGGAAAGGTTTCCTCCACATAAAGTGACTGTGTGCTCCAGTCACCCATGGCACTGAGCTGACCACACACCCTCCCGACCTATAGATCTGCCTCAAGGCTGCAGGCAGACCTGGGGCTCAGGGCAGCCAATGAGGGAGTGAAGGGTGGACTCAGGGACACAGAGATGGCTTAACACACACACCCAGTGCCACAGGCCTGATCCCCAGCAGCAGCAGGTGCATCCCAAGTGCCAAGAAAACAGTCCAGTTCACGGAATACTCATTTGCCGATTCTTGTCTCTCGACTCTGTTTCAGAGAGCTGAAGTTACCAGCCACAGAGGAATGGCGTGGCCCACTGGGTCTTAGGTTAAAAAACCAGACCGAGGCTTTATTCCTCTCTATGTTGGGTCCACTACCTGACTGCAAAAATTCAGTCTAAGATGCCTAACAGAAACATGAAACGTTTTTTATAAATGTATGAAAATCATCTTTAAAAACTAACTCATTTAGGACTACAGATACAGTCCAGTTGGTGCTTGCCTAGCATGCATAAAGCCCAGGTTCAAATCCAGCCCCATTTGACAGAGCATGATGGTGTGTGCCTATAATCCCAGCATTTGAGAGCGAGAGGCATGATGATCCGAAGTCCAAGGTGATCCTCAGCTACAGATTCAGTTCAATTTGTCAAAGAAAGAAAGAAACTACCTCCTTCTCCAGCACAGACCCCGTCTTTCCTCACTGTTTACCTGCCTCCTCCATCCATCGGGGCTGCGTCCTCATCGGAGCTCATCTCTATGGGAAACATGTCCTCATCCTCAGATGTGTTGACGTTCTCATCTCTTTTGAGATTGTCCAGCTGAGACTTCCTCCTCCTCTTCCTTCTCTTCTTTCCCAGGGAACCAGCGGATGGAGTGTCGCTGGAGGGCAGGCCCTGGGCAGCCGTGGTGGGATCCAAGCACCGGATTCTGTCCACGGAGTTCCTTTTCAGCTGGCTTTCCATGCGAGAAGCTCCTTCCGACAGGATGGGGGACGTGGCCAGGTACATGGGGATGACTTCCTACAAGGCAGGTGGTTCAAGAGTCCCATTAACACAGGTGACAGAGAAGGGCCGTGACCAAGGGAGAGAGCCACAGCAGGACAACCCGACATCTCACAGCCAGGGGGAGACATCAGACAGAGGGTCGGGGTCGTGAACTGCTCAGACACTGTTTTGTACCCAATACAGCCTTCACAGAATCACAACGGAGTCAGGCCGTTACCAGTGACTTCAAACCATCAAAACTCATCTACACACCCAGGGCAGAGAAAAATGACAGCCGAGTCACGACACTGTTGCTGGGACCTGGGCACAGTTTTACATTTTATACTGAGTATCAGAGAGTAAGTGTGAATGGGTTTCAACCGGTGAGTGGGTGGGTGGGTGTATATGTGTGTGTTCTCACATTCCAACATGAGGCCCAGGTGGAGAGTGACAGGGTAAGATACTCAACAGCCTGTGTGGGGCTCCTGTGAAGCATAAAATAAAAATCCAGATGACAGCTGTGTCTACAGGCCTGCCACTCCAGAGCACATCCAACTGTGTACCCAGTGAGCCAGGAGACAGGGACCCCTCAGAGAGAAGTGTAGACCGGTAGAGCTGGCACAAGAAGAAGAGAGCAGTCGGTGATACAGTATGCAGGTCTCAGCATCCAGCCCGCTCCCAGGCAGCCACAAATGCTGAGCTGGCCGGCTGCCACACAGCCCCAAACGACTCCTCAAGTCCTAGAGCCTAAAACGGGCCTCAGCCAGGAGCAATAGGAGGCTATAATAATCTCAGCTAGTACATTCAGGGCTTCCCATTTAGACAGGAGTTGCCTGGAGGCTGTGGGTCTGCAGCAGACAGTGGGGTGCGGCCCTTGGCTTCCAGCCCAGAAGCTGTTCATTCGCTCAGGTAGATAACAGGGAGGCACTAGCCTGGGGCAGTCTAAATTGCAGAGGCTGGTTTTAGTGTTTGAGGATCCAGGGAGCTTCCTTCCCAGGAAGGAACCAGCTTTAGTTTAACTTAAGGAACCCCTGCATAAGACTGTTTCACAGGAGCCCCACACAGGCTGTTGAGTATCTTACCCTGTCACTCTCCACCCTACGGCATTAAGACACAGTCTCTCTCACTGAACCTAAGCTAGCTCTTTCAGCTAGACTGGCTGGCCAGCCTGCAAGTTCTCTGGACCCGCCTGTCTCTGCCCCCCAAGGCTGGAGTCACAGGCATGAACTGAGCTTTTCTTAACTCGGGTGCTAGAGATCCAAACTCAGGATCTCAAACTTGCAGAACAAGCACTCTTGAACCACCCAGTCACCTACTCAGGCCCAGACCCTCAGAGTATTAAACGTGAAGTCACCACACAACCCAGTAATTTCACTTCTAGGCATACACTGGGGAGGGGTGGGGGTGAGGTCAAAGCCCCCCCCCCCCCAGAATGTTCTCACAGAAACCTGAACATGAATGTGCACAATACCATTACTCACACTAGCCACAAGGTGGCAACAACCCTAGAGTCCCTCAGGAGACACGAGGTAAATGGAATGTGGTCTGTCAAACCACGGAGCCACTGAAAACACTAACCGGTGGAGCCCAAGATCTGGCTCGGTTGGTAAGGCACCTGCTGTGAAGCCCAGCCATTCAAGTTCCGTGTCTGGGATGCACAGTGGGAGGAGAGAACCAGCTCCCGAGGGGGCTTTGAAGTTTCCCATCCTCAGGATACCGCCCAGGGTCTCAGTCCACTTCCTGCTGCCTTCGGACCAAGATGTCGCCAGCATCTTGTCGGCCATGTTCCACTCCATGCTCCCCGCCGTGAGGATAACGGACTGAACCTCTGAACTGTCAGCCTCCACCTCAATGACACATTCTCCTTTATAAGAGCTGCCGTGGTGGTGGGGCCTCTTCACAGCAATAGAAACCCTAACTCAGACACACCACATACACACAGTAACAGTAATACTAGAAAACGAAAAGGATTTGGTCCCCTACTAAATTAAAATGAGGATGCTCAGGCATCTCAGATTTGTCACGCCAGCACACAGCTTGGCCAGTGTGTGTGATGTCAGTCCCTCCGTCTCCTGGAAATGGCAAGTCAGTTGAAGCAGGCCAGGGCTGGGTCTCTGCGGCCTCAGCACGCACTCGGCTTGCCTGGCTCTGCTCCTGGGAAGGTGAGCAAGGACTCTGCTCTGATGCCAGCATGTACCCAACCAAGGACCCAGAATTCCTTCTCCTCATGTCTGCCTGCTGTGACTGCTGTAACCTGTGCTGTGACTGCTGTAACCCTGCTGTAACCTGTGCTGTGACTGCTGTAACCTGTGCTGTGACTGCTGTAACCCTGGACACCCGGCACCCCTCACCTGGTCATTGTCAGTCTCTTGAACAAAAAATGCTTCTCCATTGTCTCCCAACTTCATGTGCAAATCCACAGACTCCCCGTTGATCTCTATGTCCACCTGAAGGGAGAACCCAGAGAACACGGTGAGAGTCTTCCAAAAGCTGCTCAGGTCTCAGTGGGTGTCCCTCACCCAGGCATACCTGCCCTGAGCACTGGGGAGGGAGGGAGGGAGGGATGGGAGGGAAGGAGGGGATGGGGAGGGAGAGGATGGGGAGGGAGGGGAGGGAGAGGATGGGGAGGGAAGGGGAGGGAGGGAGAGGGAAGGGAAGGGGGGAGGGAGGGAACTTGGGTTTCCAAACAAGGCTACACTGGTCCTTTTCAACACCTCCATTGCTGTTCCAGAACCTTCCACTCCCCACCAATATGCATCCTTCCCCTCTTCCCGGGGGATGAGAGGGGCTTGTGACTGACACCCAACCAGTAGAATACAACAGAAGTAACTCCATAGGACTTCCGAAACAAGGTCATAGAAACACCGTGTCCACCTCGTCTCTCATGAGCAGCCACCATGCAGTAAGGGAACCAGACCACATGGAAGGGCTCTGCCCGGTGATCTCACTGAGATCACCGAACCAGCCCCCAGGCACGGGAGGGAACCGGCGCTCCCCTGCTCTGTGGTGCCAAGCCCCCTGCCCTGCCCGGGGTTCTGAGCCTCTGACTTGATAAGCAGTGGGTGTGCCTGATGTCTTGGAGTAACCGACACTGCCCTAGGAACTGGAACCATGGGATCATTGGGGAGCATTCGATTGTGCCGTGCGGCATCCTCAACGGTGAGTCCGAGAGCTCCGGACCGGGGGCAGCGCCCTCACGCGGCTGCTCTCTGTGGAGAGGGGTGCCCAGGCATGCTCACCACTTTCTCCCGGGAACGCAGGACGCCCATCTTCCCGAAGCGGACGTGGAAAGGCGAGCACTGCAGGCTGCCGTTGGGCTGACGGACCACGATGATGTCGATACATCCCGACAGCGTGGCAGGGTTCAGGCCCTTGTAGAGCTCCTTCACCGTCACAAACACCTGGCCAGCCAACTGCCCCACGTAATTCATCGTCTGGACCTGAGAGACAAGACAGAGCACACGAGTTCACCAGAGCAATGGACACGGGACGGCCACCCAGAGCCTCCAGCTCCACACTCCTCCATGTCAACGACGTAGTGTACACAGACTGTCACACTCTGGAATGTTATCCACAACACCCCTGCGACGGCCCATTTCTCCATTCCATCAAGAAGCCCACCCACTGCCCAGGAATCCTAACAGAGGGTACCACTGGGCTCAGACCACGCATCCCAGGGTGACTACAAACGTGATCTAACACATTGTGTTTGGTGATGTTGTCTCGATGTCAAACACAGACAGCTTCACTGGTGTGGCTAACAGGAGGGAGTACCTCACGAGGACCTGGGAAACACGACAACACAGATAACTCTTTTTGTACACTGCCTCGTTCTTCCATTCCCACAGTCCCTCCACGCCCTCTTCCATGACGTTCCCTGGGCCTCAGAAGAAGGGACATCGATGATGACCCAGTTAGTACCAAGCACTCAGCACTCACTCTCAACTCTCTGACGAGTTCTGTTATGAGTCCCCCCCAATCCTGACCAGTGCTTACTGCTGAAAGATGTCCCTCACCAAGTCTGGGAGCTGCATTTGCCTGTGTGGGTAAACACGGACTGTTCAGGAGCTGGCAAGATGGCTCTGCTCGTCAGGACCCCTGCCAACAAGCCTGGAAACCTGAGTTCATTCCCTGGGACCCTCATGGAGGAATGGGAACCAACCCCCACAGATTAGGGAACCACTCGCTCTGACCGCCATACCTTCACAGTGGCATGCACCCACACACACATTACTGTCGTGAACATGACTAGTTAGGAGGCAGTTTAATTATGCGTCCATTTGGCAAAACACCAGTAGTGGGTTTCCCCATAGGGCCTGCGACCTCCCTGGCCATAAGCTCTTGACCAGTTCTACAGCATTAGGCACACTCTCTCCCCCATGGAGCTGACTGGTTTCCTCACAAACATGCCACCACTGCACCGTGGGCAGAGCTTACAAGGCAGTTCAGTGTCGTGGCACAGGGGGTCTGCGGCCCAGTGTGACAGCTGGTGACTTTTCTCCTCCATCAACTCTATTCTAGTTCAGTGAAGCCCCCGGTGACGTCCACCATGGCATCCCCTAATCCCACCCTGCTCCTACAGGGTCTGTGCTCATCACCGAGCAACAGACCAAGCTCTCTGGCAGGGAAGGCCCAGCCCAGGCCCGCTCAGCTGAGACCCACCTTGATACTTTCCATGCTGTGGAATAAACACAGCTCTCAATTCAATGGGAATAAGAGATGGTTTATCCTAAAGCAAACACAGGTGAGCATTTCCTGAAAACACAGATTCCAATGGCCCTAAGACTGTGTGCTACCATTAGAACAGTTACATGAGATTGTATTAGTCACAGGACAAACAAAATCATAATAATTGGTGGGGACCACACAAGCATGATACTCAGTAAAGAGAGAAAATTCGGCCACAGGTTTCAGGTGTTATCTAATGACATTCTTAACGTCCGAACTAGCAGAAGCCAGGAGAAGACGTTTGCAAGGAACTGATAGTCAAAAGGAAGTTAGAACAGTGTGGTGGTTCACAAGAGAAATCCCGCCCCCCCCCCCCCCCACAGTCTGGGCATTTGAACACTTGGTCTGCAGTTGGTGGCCCTGTTTTGGAGAGTTTTGGGTGACGGAGCCACACTAGAAGTACGTTCCTGAGGGTGGGCTTTGAGGTTTAAAAGCCTCCTTGTGAACTCTACCAGTTCACTCTGTCTGCTTCCGGCTTGCATTTGACAATGCGAACTCTCAGCTTCCCGTTCCAGCCACCATGCCTGCACCTTGCTGCCATACTCCATACCAGGAGGACTCTGTTCCCCCGGGACCATAAACCATTGGTCATAGTGTTTTATCACAGCAGCAGTAAGGTAACTAATACAGTCAGACAAAAGCGTGGACGATGAATAGCTAGCTAATAAGAAAACTAAAAGTATCCCCCAGATACTTCAGCTCTGGATCAACGAGATTCTAACTCTCCACAATCAGTTAACAGTTCAGCCTTCTAGACTCTTTAATACTGGGTGTGTCTCTTTGGGGGGCGGGGCTTCAGTTTACCCTGTGTTGGAAAGAAAAAGGTTCTGAGAGTTGGGGGGCAGTTAACAGATCTCAGCATTCCAGCTTCCCAGGTTCAAATACGTGAGCACAGGGTCCCAGATGCCTGCAAGGCCCAATTCTAGTTCTAACAGGTCAGAAATAAGGGGCGTTTCCCCACTCCGTTTATCATCCCAAGAGGCATCCTTCATCACTGGCGCGCATGGCTGCTCTGCCCTTGTGACCTCAAGAAAGCAGCCCTCCCAGGCACAGGAACTGTAGAACAGGACAATCACTTGGCTGCTCCAACAGGCTCTTTTTAATTGAAAAAAAAAAAAAAACCTAGAAATGGGAAGTCTGAGGCAGAGTTCTCCTGCGAACACCCCAAGGATTCACTCCCCTAGTAACTGTCTGCTGTGTGAGCAAAGGGCTTGGCTGGTGTATTTTCTAACTGCAAATAGCCAGGAGCAGCTGTCTGCTGGAAGCCTCCGTATATGTTAAAAGGTCTCTGTGTAGACACAGGCACACTGTTCACAAGCCCCACCAGACGAAAGTCTTCTTGAAATTATCCTTGACATCAAGATCCAGGGGCTGCCTAGGCGACCCTGCACTAAGCTTTTTTCTTAAAAAAAAAAAAAAAAAAAAAAAAAAAAACCACATTCCTCCACAAACTCATGAAGATGACTACCATTACCAGAATATAGGAAGGTGGGGAAACTGGGGGCCTTGTGTGCTGTTGGTGGCAAGGGAACAATGGTGCAGCTACCCGAAAACCAGCGCCGCAATTCCTTGAAAATGAAAAATAGAATTACCCTACAACCCAGCAATTCAACATCAATGTGTATCTTCTAAAGAGCTGGAATCAGGGTCTTGAGAAGGTATGTGCACACTCATCCTCACAACATAAAAAGGAAGAATCACCCAGCACCGGCGAAGCATCTGTCTGGCAGCCAGACATCCATCGACAGAACGACAAGAACATGTGGGATGATGGGAGATTATTCAGCCTCCCAAAAGAGGAAAATCATGGAGGCTGAGGAAATGGCTCAGGGCATGGAGCGCTCGCTTGCTGTGCTAGAGGGTGGAGCAGAACTCAGATCCACAACACCCACGTGGAAGTGAGGCAGGCAGGGTGGCACACCCCTAACAAGACCTGAGGAGGCAGAGAAGGGGAGCCCCAAGGCAAGCTGGCTAGCTAGACTTGCCCCCTCAGGGAGCTCTGGGTGCAGCCAGAGAACCTGACCTCGGTCCACAACGTGGAGAGAGGAAGACACCCAACATCCACTCTTGGCCTCTATATACATGTATACACACACACACACACACACACACACACACACACACAAGAAAGCGAGGGAAGGAGATTCTGCAAGCTGCCCCAACACAGGCAGGGTAAGCCAGGAGGGCAGTGAGGGTGTGAAGGAGGCCATCAAAACAGGACAGAGGCTGCAGGACCACCGTAGGAGCTCCCTAGAGAAAACAGCAGCTAGGGGGCTGGGAGGGAACAGAAATGTGGAGTGAGCGACCCCTGGACCAAGGGTTTCCATTCTGGAGGAACGCAGTGATGGCTGCACTCTTTAAATGACTTAAGGGCTGGAGACGCAGCTGAGCTGGTGCAGCGCTTGCCTGGCAGGCACAGAGCCCTGGGTTTGATCCCCAGCACTGGGTAAAACCAGGCACAGTGGTTGTGCAGCCTGCAATCCCAGGACTGGGGAGGTAAAGACAGGGAAATCAGAACTTCAGAGTCATCCTAGGTGTGAGGCCAGCCTGGGCTACATGAGATCCCGCCTCAAAAATATAAATAAACGACTTGAGGTGCACCCCAGCAGGCATGTGACCCACAGTGGCCTTTAACAAGCCAGTGTAAGCCAGGTCCTCTCAGGCACCCGCTGGGCTGAAGTCAGGCAGGGAAAGGACTCTTTCTCTGCCCCCATTGGAGGCGCTCCTCTCAAAAAACCTTGTGTGAATTTTTCTCTAAATGTTCTATACAATCAAACTACTCGACGTGAAGTCCCAGATTTCACTTCCTTCAGCTGCACTGGCATTGAAAAAGCTCAGGGAAGACACTAATTCGATTAGCCCGAAGATAAGCCGCCAGAACAACGGAGCCGAGCTGGGGCAGAGGTGCCTCCCACCGGGCCATAATCCCATCACGCGGCAGAGTTTCAGTGTTCGGCTTCCTTGAAAGCACGTGAGGAGGCAGAAAGGGTGAGGTTTGGATTAAAGAAGAAAGCGTCTGGGTGAGGGAAGATCAGAGGAACCAAAGAGAACAAAACAAAATGCTGACGTCTCCGGCGGACCTGCTGGAAGACGCTGGCCACCAGACTGCTTTCCAGTCTGCTGGGCTTTTTTTTCTTGAAATCTGGCAAGATATTGCACCTGGCAGAGCTGAACACACTGGAGAAAGGATTCTGCAGTTCCTGGCTCAGATGTATTTTTGAAGGAGAACTTGACCAGGTCTTAGAGGCTCCTTGGACCAGCCTGGAATTCTCTAGAGCAGTGGTTCTCAGCCCTCCTAATGCTGCGAGCCTCTAATACAGTTCCTCATGTTGTGGTGACCCCCAATCCTACAATTATTTCTGCTGCTACTTCATAACTGTAACTTTGCTACTGTTATGAGTCGTACTGTAAATGTCTGAAATGCAGGATGTCTGATATGCCACCCCTCTGAAAGTGTTGTTTGACCACCCAAGGGGGTTATGGCCCACAGGTTGAGAACCACTGCTCTAAAGCAAACCAGGACCTTCTGGATCTGTGGATCACAAAACACACAGGCTCTTTTTTTCTTTGATGTGGCTGCTTCTGGACTGGCATTCTGAACCAACACAAAGTTCTCTGAAATGCCGTTTCCAGGTAAGATCTTCCTAGATAAATGGGGAGCTCGTACGGGGAAGAGAACCCCATGTCAAGGCCCCAACCTGCAACTGGAGGC